CAGGATGTCCTACAGGGTACCGCGTTGAAACGTTGATAAAGGGGTACAAAGAAGTCACGTCGTAGTAGGAAATTTTTTCGCCTGGTTTGGCACAATGGAAAAGTTTGAGCGGACCAGTTCTCCCTCCATAAAATGCTGATCTGATGTTGATAGGCCCATCATCTAAATAATTCTTAAACATTCTTCTCATCTCAAAATCTTTGGAGACCATGTTCCTTATTTGACACTCCCAATAGACCTCAACATCCACTCCCAAATTTTTTATAAAGTTCAAACGTTGTTTGTCTTTTTGCCTCTGCTGCCCTGCTGTGAGACCAGTAGGAAGTTTTATGTCGTCATTCGGATAACATTTGATGCATCCGTGCCAGCAGCACCCATTGACTTCAATAGCCAATTTCTTTTCTTTAATCCATCCATCCAATTTATAATTACCAATTTTCTTCTCCCCATTCTTTGAGTGTGCTGTCCTAATAGTAATGTTGTTCTTATCGGCATACCATTTAAGGAAACGGAGTGCCAACAAGCTTTGGTTGTCCACATTATCGTATCCTTTTTCAGGTACAATCCCAACATGTTGAGCTTTCAGATGATTCAGTCGAAAGTGTTTCATGCAGGCAGAAGCAATAGTCATGGACTCCCGAAGAACATCCAGTCCATTGGAGACATCCAAAAATTCTTTTCTGAAGGCCACAAGTGCTGCCATTAAAATATCCACATCATTTGTGCAGTATGATGCAAGTTGTTCATCGAGGAGAAAGGGCTCGTTTTTGTGTTGCTCAAACCATTTATCGAATTGGGCCCTTTTCTCAGGCATCATTCCATTGCAAAGGTAGTCTTCTTTTGCTGGGTAGATCTCTTTCCCATAATTTTTAGGGTTGTTTGCCAGATGGGGGAAGAAAGGTTTATCTTCCACTTGCAATCCAAACGCAGGTACAAGAGATGCCAGAGGCATCGGCATTAAATTGTATGTGTCTCTGAAGATGATCCAGCATTTATTAGAATTTTTCATTTTCATTTCATACATTTTGTTTCCTTTCTTAATCATATCTGGAGTTAAGCCAAGAAGATACAATTCTTTGAAAAGTAGGACCATGTCAAACCTTCCACCAAAATGAGAGAAGGCTACTGTATCAATAGAAGCATTGGTGATCCAAGTTGCAAAATCAGTCAGAGGTTCATTAGTGATGTTCTGTTGATCGACATGAGTATTAGAAAAGGGTTGATGAGAGAAGGTTATAGTTCGATCCTCTCCACAATTTTTACAGTTGTTTTTCAGACCGTTAGCAATACAATCAGGGCAATTGATCTTAGCAGAAATAAAATTAACTTCATGTAGATTACCCTTTTCTCCTTGGATGTGTTGCGTAGTTTCGAAGTCAAAAGCGATGATCCGGTACGGTTTTGGCTTTTTGAGAGTAAGAGGTTTGATGAAGCATCCTCTTTTGGGGTCGTGGAAGCTAAAACATGTGTTGCAGTAACGTTCCGAGCATACATGGCCACCTCGTCCATTTCGGTTGTTTACAGCAACATTCCATACCACTCCACACTTTTTACATTTTTTGGAGTTGTTGCAGAAATTAGAATTGATGTGATGGTCATAGCAGTTATTGCTGTAAAATTCTTTATCACAATTAGGACAATGTTTGAAAAAGTTGTTCATCTGCTGACAAGGGTAGTCGGGGCCTATCCTGGAGCAATTTTGACATTTAGCTTTACATGAAGTCGCATGATCCTTCGGTTTGTTATAGAGGGTTTCACAGGCAAGGCAATAGGGCTTACCAAACAAATCACTTGCCCTTCTAACTCCATCAAAGTGATTATTATTAAAATAAAGAAGGATTGGAGTGTTGTAATTTTCAGTCCCATATTTATAAATAGGCTTTTCATTGAATTCCCCAAAAATAAAAACTTTAAAGCCACCTTTATCCAAAGAATTCCAATAGTCCACCACATTTGGCACCCAATCCTTTGCATCATAGGTACGCTGATCAGGAGGAGCTCCAATTATATTCATTAATTCCAGTGCAACCTTCTCGAGTTGATGAGCCATTCCATATCGGCTGTGCATGTAATTATAAAATTTACTCCTCGACCAGGAACATATTGAGAATACGTATGAAGCAATCAACGAATAGAATAGGCAAAAGTTGTCGAAATTACGAATTTTGATCAAAGCCTTGTCGTTGATCCGACGAATAGGCTTCCCGCCACTACCTTGAATAATCCGTGTAGTTTGTAGATTCTTCTTGTCCACGCATGTAACTGTAACGATGAATTTTTCACCCCAAAGCATGCCATTATCTTGCTTCTTGGATTGCGCCACTTTAAGGAATTGATTTAATATAGCGTCTACTGTGTTGTTGTTGATATCCCTGATCGGGATCCAAATGTCAGTTTCCAGTAACTGACTGCTAACTGTACAACCAAGTTGATCGGGTTCGAGATGGTGATCATGGCTAGTCTCTAGTGCTTTGTCTATGCATTCTAGGAAAATTTCTCTTAATAAACCTTCAGGATCGAGTGGGATATTTGAAATAAGGAATTTAGTATTAAGTTTAGTCATGTTGAACTTTTTGGTGATTTTTGTTTCTTCACCGAGCTGATTAACAAAATCACCGCCGCCGAGCTGCAGATCAAGAAGATTGTTGATCATGAAGAGGCGTGATCGTTTTGAAGGTGGGGGAGACATTTTATTATATTAAAAATGTTGAAATTTAAATTTTTTAAAGAATGAATAAAAATCCTAAAAACTCAGATTTTTATATTTTTTATTTGACCCTTTTTTTCTATATTTTCACTTTTCCACGCCCACTTTTTAAAAATTTTTGAAACAATATTCACATGATGTATTTTTGACATATTTTCACTTTTTAACATTATTTTTATAAAATTTACCCAATTTTCACTTTTCAACAATAATTTACAAGTTTTTCTCGTGCATGACCTACTTTCTGACCTATTTTCACTTTTCAACGCCTACTCTTTATAATTATTTCCCAATTTTATTTTTGTATGACTGATTTTTTCCATTTTACAATGTTAACGTTGAATTTCGTAATTTCATTTGCAACGTATTTTCAAATATTATTTTCACCGCCTACTTTTTGATAATTAATGAATTTTGTAAATGTATTAAAAATAAAGGTTCAAAAAGAAGAGGAAGGCAAGAGGGATTTAAAAAAGTTTTTAAATTAAAAAGTATGGAGAATTTGATGTGAGAGGTTTAATAAGAGAGGGTGATAATAATTTTGTGAGGTTTGATATGAGGTTTAATGAGATATGGGAAACCGGTTAAACCAGTTTAAAACTACTTCTTGAACCGTAGCTCCTTTGGGAACTTTTTGGTTATGAAAAATATGGGGAATGATTGGTTTTTTCTAAAAATTTACATCTTAAACCGGTTTGATCAAATTACCCCTTAAACCTTTTGGAAACTCCTTGGACTCTGACGACGGAATGGTTGAATGACCGATTAAGAAAGGGGGAGGGGTTAAATGGATGGACCCCGCTGCCCCCGCGACACGGAGGGGTGACTAACTACTCATGTATCTTTTGATTCACTGAACCGATTTAGATGATTTTGGTAGCATTCGATAGAACACAAAATAGGCTATAAAATTTACTTTGTTTAAAAATTATCTGTTTCATTTAAAAAAAGTAGTGTACAATAAAACTAAATTTTACAAACTTGAAGAAATTTGAGGTTACTTGATTCGTAGTCCTTTAACTTTTGATTGCTTTAATCAATCTAGATGATTTTGGTACGATTCGATAGAGCATAAAATAGGCTATTAAATAGATTTTGTTAAAAAAATATTTTATTCATTAGAACCAGTTTAGGTCAAAAAATTAAATTTTATGTGAAAAAATTAGTTCATTTTTGTATCCCTCTTGTATTTCTCATTTAAAATTTCCCTTAATATTTTTTAAAAATTTCAGAAAAATTTTTTTCTAAAAATTATCCAAAATTGAAAACATTTTCATCCTTCTCTCACTTTTATTACTTGCTTGGCTTTTCTAGTTTACATTCCTTTTAATTTATTTTAGCTTGCCAATCCATCCATTCAACAGCTGTCGCGATCTATATTGATTTTCAAATCAAATATTTTTATATTTATATTTTCACTTTTTAAATCAAATACATCTTTCTTCTTTCCATTTGCTCTATATTTGATTTAGAATTTTCTAAAATAATTTCTGATTATTCTGATTAGAGAAATTGCAATTGTGTTTTAAAGGGGGTGTGGCCACAACCCCCAGCTCCAAAAATTACATTATTTAGAATTATTATTAGGGATGTCTTTTTTTCATTTAAACAAAAAATTAATTGAATTTTAATATATTAAATAATTTATTTCTTTGATAATGTGAAGGGAACCATTCAGTGGTAGTGTGAAAGGAACATCCTCTGCCTGTGCGAAAGGAACCTCGTCGGGTAATGTGAAGGGAACATCCTCTAGTAATGTGAAGGGAACATCGTCGGGTAATGTGAAAGGAACATCTCCTAGTAATATGAAGGGAACATCTAGTAATGTGAAGGTAGTCAAATCAGTACTTATTAATCTCGGACTTGAAGGACTATCCAAGACAGTCTTTTCCATTTCTTCATTCTTAACATTCCTTCCACTCTCTTCAATCAGCTTTTAATAAAAAAGAGAAAAGCGGCTGTCATTGACTTCCCCTTATCTCCTCTCCCTTTAAAGCCCTCCCTTTAAGATTTGAAGACAACTCACAGCCATCAATCGCTAACATATTAAAACATTATTTGCCTGTTCTGTTAATTCAACCCACTCATTTTCCCTTCATCTCCTCCACATCTTTTCGATTTTTCTTTCCATTTTGGCCAAGTTTCCGTCATTTGCCAATCAACATCTTTCCCCTTATTTCGCCCTTTTTCCCCCTTTTTTCCTCTGTTCCTTCTCTCTTAAAAATTTTTTCTTCAGCTTAAACAATTAAAAATACCTTTAAATTTATTTTAGAACCTTTTTGCCATCTAAAAATTTTATTTCGAAAAAATGGCTGAGAATATAGAAGAAATCCTTGCCGAAATTGACGGCTCTCAAATTGAGGAGTATCAACGTTTTTTCGATATGTTTGACCGTGGAAAGAATGGCTATATTATGGCTACTCAAATTGGGACAATTATGAATGCTATGGAACAAGATTTTGATGAAAAAACTCTTCGGAAGTGAGTTTAAGAGGAGGAAATTTTAGAGGAAAATTCTGAGTAAGGTGAAAGGAACGCCGGCCTAGGCTGTAAGGAACAAGGGCTTGGGCTGATGAGGGAACATAGCATGGCTGTAGGAGAACGTTCGCCTTGTTTGGAGGGAACACGGCCCTGGTTGTAGGGACAAATGGCCAGGGATGAGTGGAACATCGGCCTGGATTTGGAGGGTTTCTGGCTGTATGGAACAATGGCCTGGGCTGAAGGGAACATCAGCCTGGGCTTGGAGGGTTTCTGGCTGTAGAGAACAATGACCAGGGCTGAAGGGAACATAGGCCAGGATTGTAAAGGACAATGGTCTTGGTTGTAAGGAAGCCAGCATAGGCTGTAAGGAACGCCGGCATAGGCTGTAAGGAACATATGAATTAAGCTGCTGCTTCATAGCCATGCTCCCTTATAACCGAAAATTTTTTTTCACTCAATAAGGCTCGAAACTTTTGAAAGCTCATGTAAAAGATCGAATATTTAAAAATTTGAAAATAAATATTAAATTCAAAATGAATTTTACAGACTAATCCGAAAATTCGACGCAGACGGCAGCGGCAAAATCGAATTCGACGAATTCTGCGCTTTGGTATACACTGTGGCGAATACTGTAGACAAAGACACTTTGCGGAAAGAATTGAGAGAAGCTTTCCGTCTCTTCGACAAAGAGGCAATAATTTATTTAATTTTAATAGAGTCATATTGAAGTCTTTTGAGGCATGGGGTAATTGAGAAGGCTTTTTGGTTTTCGTGATCTTGAGATTAATTTTTGAAAAATACTCTAAAAGTATTCTGATACATTTCGATAATTATTATCAGACTAAATTTTAAGTATGGTTTAAAGGGGGTCTGGCCACAACCCCCAGCTCCAAAAATTACTTCTTATTCCACACTCTTTATCTCCGAAAACGTCGTTTTATTTTTTATTTAAACAAAAAATTAATTGAATTTTAATATATTGAGCAATTCTTTGGATCTCAGATAACTGATTGCGTTCCGCCCTTGGGACCACTTGTCTCATTTCCACAAAAATTGGGATCATTTGTTATCTGCTTAGAATAATCCCCTAACTACTAAAACTCCCCCCATTTTAAGGGTAATGGATACATCTCTCGTCCAACACTCAAAGGATTACTTCACGAAATCGCCCCAGACCTTAGCGATAAAGACTTGGATGCCGCAGTAGACGAAATCGACGAAGACGGAAGCGGAAAAATTGAATTTGAAGAATTTTGGGAATTAATGGCTGGAGAGACTGATTGAAATTTTAATTAGAAATGACTAAGATTCAATAAAATATTTTGCCATAAAATTTTGGAAAGTGCCAAAAAATTGCCTTTCTAAGAATTTTTATTTTTAACGTCTAAATAATGAATAAAATGGATATAAAAATTTTTTTAATGGGTATTAGTGAAGTAACCTCGATTTTGTATGCATACTAGAGATCGGACTGGGAGCGTCGTACGAGAAACGAGGTCTCGAAAAGACCTTAATCTCGAAAAAGCTTGATGATCTCGATTTTTTTTATCGAGCTCTCTTCACGGTCCGTCTCCAATACACTCTCTCTCTTGTGCATTAGGGGTCTACCGAAAGTGATTTTAAAAAGCGAAAGACAAAAGTTAATTTAAAAAGCGAAAGATGAAACTCGCACACCACTGATGCCTCCTTCGGAGGGTGACTAACCTTAGGATATGTTCATTCAGAAGGGATATGTTCTCTTTAGAGGTGTATGTTTCAGTTAGAAAGGTGTTGTTCCCTTCGAAGTATGTAGTATGTTCTTCTGGAGGGTATGTTCTATTCGGAAGGGTATTCTCCTTCGGAGATATAGAATTCTCAGTAATGGCTCAAATGTCCTTTTATCACCCCTACAAGTCCTTTAGATGCCATTCCGTGTCAAAATTAGAGCTGATAAGAATGATCCACATTTTCATCAATATACCTACGCATTTTACGAAAATTTTCGTTACAATTTTGTTTTATTTTTGTATAGTTTTATCCTTTTCTGCAAATCCTTTCCAGCAAGAGGATAAGTCCCATAAAGGTTGATTTTATTATTTTATTAGTTATTTTTCTTGTTTTTTAACTCAAAAATAAATGTTTTAAATAGTCTCCCAATTTGTATTGCAGTTTTAAATTTATTTTTCCATTTTTGCATTCTTGAAATGGCATACTTGTTGAATTCTTTGTTGATTTTCTCATTTTACCTGGATATATCATATATGGCAAGTTTTTATGAAGGAGGTTTGCTCCTTTCGGAGGATTATGTTCCTTTTGAACAAGTATGTTCCCTTCGGAGGTGTATGTTCCTTTCGAAGTATGTTCCCTTCGGAGGGTATGTTCCCTTCGGAGGGGTATGTTCCCTTCGGAGGGGTATGTTCCCTTCGGAGGGGTATGTTTCCTTCGGAGGAGTATGTTCCCTTCGGAGGGGTATGTTCCCTTCGGAGGGGTATGTTCCTTTCGAACTAGTATGTTCCCTTCGGAGGGGTATGTTCCTTTAGAACTATTACGTTCCCTTCGGAGGGGTATGTTCCTTTCGAACTATTATGTTCCCTTCGGAGGGGTATGTTCCTTTCGAACTAGTATGTCCCCTTTGTTGATAATCTTCTGTTAATAATTTAGAGGTTGATAGACTCATCCTGCCCTTGTTGTTTTGATCATTCCTTGGAGTGCTTCATGAGAAAAAGCACCACAACAACAACAACCTCCACAACCACCAACACAACAACAACAACAACTGCAAAACCAAACACAACAGCATCTCCATGTTGTGATTACAGTTCCTCGTCCTCCGAGAGCGATGAAAGCGATGAAAGGGGAGTTATTTTGGCTATAGGAATACACAATAAATCGCCCGAAAAGGCATGTTTTATCTTCAAAAAGCTTTGAAAAAAATCCAAAAATTGCAGGATTGCTCTCCTACAGATTGCAATTCAAATGGGCATTGTTTTGGATCAACTTCTGAACCTTTGTGCTTGTGCCGATTAGGCTATTGCGGTCCTCGCTGCAATACAAGTCAGTTTTTATCGTGATAAAAGGGTAAAGTGATAGCTAAGAGTCTGAGATGGGATATCTTTTAGAAGGAGTATGTCGGGGATTAAGAAATAAAAGAGATGGGATATACGATTTTTGAGATAGGAGAGATATGATGATTGGATATACAAGAAGGAATATGCATGAGCGTAGAATAGCTTAAACTTGGAGGGGGGAGGATAAATAAAAGCCTGAGATGAGAGATTAGGGTACCCGAAAAGGGGTGCCCTTTAAAATTTTTAAAGGGCCCCTCTTTAAAATTTTTTAACTGGATCGAAAAAGAGAAAACCTTAGCTATATATGGAACATCTCGGAGAGAGTTCCTTTTTCCATTAAAGCTTAGATAATTGCAGCCTCCTGTTCCGGCGACTCAGCATGTAATGATCACGGTTGGTGCTTAGCTACCACCAATTCATCACAATGTATTTGCCAGAGTGGCTGGTCAGGGAAATTTTGTCAAAAGAAAGATTAGATTTGGTTATTTAGTGTCAGAGAAGAAAAAATAATTTTGGTATACTGTATTCTCTCATTTCGTGAATTCCTTACTTATTTATGTTTTTGCTTAATATATTTAAATTCAATTAATTTTTGTATAAATAAAAATAAAAAGTCATTAAAGTACTTAACTTCGGGAGTAATTTGATATAATTTTTGGATTTGGGATGTTGGCCACATCCCTTTAAAAACAAAGATTTTGTCTGATTATACTCAAAATTAGCGAACGGAAGGGGGGTGTCGCGCGGGAACATCATATCAGAAATTTATTAAACCTTTACGAAACCTTATCAGAAGTTTGTCAAAAATTTGTCAGAATTTTGTCAGAACATTTTAATAAGTCTTTCATATCAGAACAATTAACTTTATTCAAATGTCTTGTCTTCAACTCTTCAATCAACCCCAATTCTTACTCCTTTTTGTTTAATATATTTAAATTCAATTTATTTTTGTTTAAATAAAAATAAAAAGTGGCTGCTATAATTTATAAAACCGTTTGAATTTTTGGAGATGGGGATGTGCCACATCCCCTTAAAAAGTTTTTGCTTGGTTATACTCAGAAGCAGAATCAAAATTTCTTGCATCATATCAGAATTTTGTCAAAAAATTATCAGAATTTTATTAAAATTTTCTCAGAACAATTTAATAAGTTTACCATAATATTTCTGATTATCTTGTCAGAACAAGTCCCTTATCAATTGTCTTGTCTATAAAGGGCGGAGGGTAGCTCAATAATAAAAATATTTGTTCTCACATATTTTCGGGGCATGTTTACGAATTTTATAAAATAATTTTATAAATTTTATTCAAATCTTTTTTTAAATTGAAAATAAAAAGTAGGCGGAAATTTATCAAAAAAAATTTTTTTTTTAAACAAAATATTCCGAAATGTATGGAATAAAAATGTAAATACTTTAATAATTATCCAATAAAAATATTTTGGGGAAAATTAAATTTTAAAATTGTTTTTGTCTGTAATTGGAAGGATGAAATTTATAAATAATTTTGTCTGGAATTTTTAAATTATTTATTAATATTAAAATCTACTTAATATGTATAAATTCAAATATACGGCTATCTATAATTAATAAATAGAACACCGCTTATAAATTTTTTAGAGAGATAATTTTAATTTTTGGAACGGGTGTTCGCGCGAACCCTAACAATAAACATTTCGTTAAATCCTGTAAACATCAGAATTTAATTTTTAAAATCAGAATTTTGAAAATAAAAACCAAATAAAAATCAGAATATTTCAAAATCAAGCTTACAGATAATCAGAATTTAACCAGAATTATTTCAGAATATTTAAAATAAAAATCAGAATTTTAAAAATAATCAGAATTTTTTTTCAGAATTTTTCAGAAATATTTCAGAATATAATCAGAATTTAATTTTTAAAATCAGAATTTTTAAAAATAAACGTAAGAATTAAACCAGAATTATTTTCAGAATTTTTAAATTAAATCAGAAATTAATTTCTGCTGGTCTTTTTTATTTAATTCTTGCGCAACTAAAAAATATTAACTTTCATAAATATTTTTTTAAAAATATTTATTCCCCTCCTCTCCTCCTTCAAAAAAATATTTATTTATTAATTACCCCCAAATTCTATATCAATAATCAATTTTATTCTTTTCTTATTTTTAATTGCTTTAGTTAAAATTTTTTTTATATTTTTTTATTAATCGTAAAAATCGCGAGAATAATCGTCACAATTTTTTTTCAATTGATCTTGCTTTTCCCGATAGAAATTGATATATTGCTTTCTAAACAATTAAAAAAATTTTAACATGTAAAGTATGAAACAAATTTTATATTAATTTATTAAATGTTTATTTAAGGGGTTTAAATATGAATTAAAAATCAGAATAAATTTCAGAATTAACATTAGAATTAATTCTGATTTTTTCAGAATATTTTCAGAAACATTCAGAATTAATTTCAGAATATTTTCGGACTAGAATCAGAATTGATCTCAGAATAGCTCCGAAAAAATCAGAATTATATCAGAATTATTTTCAGAATTTTGTCAGAATAAAAATCAGAATTATTCAGATTAAAACCAAAATAAAATCAGAATATTTTTAGCATATAATCAGAATTAATTTAAAATATTTTCAGAATTAATCAGAACAAAATCAGAATTAAATTCAGAATTAAAAATCAGAATTATATCAGAATTATTTTCAGAATATTTTTAAAATCAATCAGAATTATTCAGAATAAAATAAAAATTAAAATCAGAATTTAACCAGAATTAATCAGAATTATCTTCAGATTTTTTTCAGAATTATTCAGAATTAAAAATCAGAATTATTATCAGAATTTTTAAAATTAAAAATCAGAATTAATCTGATTAAAATGAAAAATAATCAGAACGAATTTCAGAATTATTTCAGAACTATCAGACATCAGAATTAATCAAAATTAATCAGAATATTAAATCAGAATAAATTTAGAATTAGTCGAATTAATTCTGATTAAAATCAGAATTAATTTCAGAATATTTTCAGAATAAACTCAGCATTAATCGTAATAAAATCATAAAAAATCAGAACTGAGCAGAATTAAGTTCAGAATTATTCGTGTTAAAACCAGAATATTTTCATATTAAAATCAGAATTAATTTAAGAAATATTCGGATTGAAATCAGAATTAATAACAGAATAGCTGCGAAAAAATCAGAATTAATTCAGAATAAAATTATAATTAAATCGGAATTTTTCAGAATTAAATCAGAATTAATTTCAGATTTTTTTCCAAAATAATCAGAATTCTAAAAAATTATCAGAACAAGTAAACAATAATATTTTCGGCCTATTTTAGTCAATTTAATATACAAATTTAGCACTTTCCTCTCAAATTCAATCTATTTTTATATTACCAAAAAAACTCGGGATTGATAAAAATAAAAATGAGCGCCATGTCATGAGAGTGAAAAATTCATGTTTTGACAACACGAAAAATTTTTTTATTTTTATTCAAATATTTTCAAAAAAATATCAAAATATAATTAAATTTTATTAAATAACAACTTATTCAACCAATTTCCCCTCATTTTTTTTTTCGAAAAAATCAGAAAAAGTCAGAATTGATCAGAAAGAAAATCAAAATTAATGGAAAACAACCCCAACCTTTGGAGTTGTCCGAAGGGAACATACCCCTCCGAAGGGAACATACCCCTCCGAAGGGAACATACCCCTCCGAAGGGAACATACCCCTCCGAAAAGAACATACCCCTCCGAAGGGAACATACCCCTCCGAAGGGAACATACCCCTCCGAAGGGAACATACCCCTCCGAAAAGAACATACCCCTCCGAAGGGAACATACCCCTCCGAAGGGAACATACCCCTCCGAAGGGAACATACCCCTCCGAAAAGAACATACCCCTCCGAAGGGAACATACCCCTCCGAAGGGAACATACCCCTCCGAAGGGAACATACCCCTCCGAAAAGAACATACCCCTCCGAAGGGAACATACCCCTCCGAAGGGAACATACCCCTCCGAAGGGAACATACCCCTCCGAAGGGAACATACCCCTCCGAAGGGAACATACCCCTCCGAAGGGAACATACCCCTCCGAAGGGAACATACCCCTCCGAAAAGAACATACCACTCCGAAGGGAACATACCCCTCCGAAAAGAACATACCCCTCCGAAGGGAACATACCCCTCCGAAGGGAACATACCCCTCCGAAGGGAACATACCCCTCCGAAGGGAACATACCCCTCCGAAAAGAACATACCCCTCCGAAGGGAACATACCCCTCCGAAGGGAACATACCCCTCCGAAAAGAACATACCCCTCCGAAGGGAACATACCCCTCCGAAGGGAACATACCCCTCCGAAGGGAACATACCCCTCCGAAAAATCATACCCCTCCGAAGGGAACATACCCCTCCGAAGGGAACATACCCCTCCGAAGGGAACATACCCCTCCGAAAAGAACAATCCCTCCGAAGGGAACATACCCCTCCGAAGGGAACATACCCCTCCGAAGGGAACATACCCCTCCGAAAAGAACATACCCCTCCGGAGGGAACATACCCCTCCGAAGGGAACATACCCCTCCGAAGGGAACATACACCTCCGAAAAGAACATACCCCTCCGAAGGGAACATACCCCTCCGGAAGGAACATACCACTCTGAAGGGAACATACCGCTCCGAAGGGAACATTGTTCTATCATAAATATTTTTATTTTCTTAGCCCTAAATGTGCGAGAATGTACATACTATGTATTACAAATTAAATAAACTTTGAAAATTCCAACCATTCCAGAAACGTACATAAATGAGTAAATATTTCCCTTCCTCCAATGTCTCTCAACTTTACCACATTCCTTTTTTACAACGAAAATTTTATTTATTTTTATTTATTCTTATCATTCTTCATAAAAATTCAAATTGTTTCCCTGCCCTCTTGGATGAGTCAAACAATACAAATCGTTCATTTACTAAATTTTGGGAAACACAACAACCACAACAAACATCTCAAACATCACAGACAACTGAGTTTAATATTAATGCTCAACAGGATGAAATGAAGCCTAGCTATTTTAAGGCAATTATAGAAAATCTCAAAAATTATTCCCCTCTTTCTGAGGGGTCTCTGCCTCCTTCGAAATAGGACACCTCATTCCGAGGAGTTTAACAATTCCATAAACCCTTTGGGGGAACATCCTTCCAATTAAGGTTGTTGGATCCGGATACCCAAATCCAAAAAAGACAGGATATCCGTAAATTTTCGGTTCGGATACCGAATCGGGATATCCGAAGATTTCCAACTATTTGACACCCTTCCAACCATAACTATTATAGGTAGGGTAATGTTCCCTTCGGAACCCTTCGAGAGAACCTATGGTTGCTATTATAGGGCGTGCTTGTTTTTTTTGACTTTTTTTTGACTCCTATTTATTCTTGATGTGAGGATCATTTAAGCTAGCACGGCTTCTTAGATCAGATCATCCTACTTAAAGTTATAGCCGAATAATTATCCGAAATCACGATTGCACTTATCAAGCTATAACTTTTTGTAAGATAATCTGATCAGATCAACTCTCTTAGCTAAAATATTCCCCACATCCAGAGCTTTCGATTGGTATAATATCTATTTAAATCGGTTGAGAATGAAAAAAGTTATGGCCAAAATATGACCCCTAGACCTTATAAATCTTGACATTATAATTCCTCTTCTTTTAGATACTTTCACTGGAATGGCACCATGTTGAAACTGTATGAATTTAATTATTAAATTTATGAAAATTAAATTTATTTGTAGCCATATACCGTCAGTGTTTGGATACTGTTGGCTAGCATAGCTAAAATACGTAGGTTCTTAAATACACTCCTAAGAAATTGAGCAATGCTCCCTTCGGATTAGAACCCTTTTGAGGGGAACATATGTTCTCTCTTATAGTGTTCCCTATGAAGGGAACCTGCTCCGAAAGGGACATCCTTTCATCATATTGGTCCTTACGGATGGACCCTCTCGGAAGGAAAACATCCTTTCTATCAGTCTGTTCTTACGTATGGGTCCTCTCTGAACGGAACATTCTTTCTTTCAGTCTGTTCCTTACGGATGGAACCCACTTCGAGAGGAACTTTATTCCCATGATCTCAAAAGTTTTCGTTTCATTTGCAGGAGGGAACACACACTACGATAGCCTTCGGACGGGCCCTCTTCAAAGGGAACATGCCCTTTTTCTTTGAGTCCGAAGGGAACATTCATCCTTCCTAATGGAACACCTTAATCTCGCTCATTTTAAGTTTTCCATGTCCACAAACAATTTGGAGAGGCAATACCAGACAGTGCTCTACTCATTGTTGTCGGTCTAGTTCTTGGTTATGCTCTTCAGAAACTTCATGTTAGCAACGAACTATTCACTCTCAAATCTACCACATTCTTCCTCTATCTACTTCCTCCAATTATTTTCGATGCTGGTCAGATTTTATTAAACTTTTAAAGCTGAGTAAGGCTTACTATCCTTCGGTAATCTTATCAGCATGCATTCCGAACATATCAGTATAACTTTGAGGTTGTCCTTAAATTTTTAGGGTTCGGCCGAACACCCGTTCCAAAAATTGTTTATTCATCTATAAAAATCATAAACAAAATGCTTATTTATATTTAAATAAAAATTATTTGGATTTTTACATATTAAGTAAAGATTTTTCTGATTGTTTGGCCTCTTCTAATTAACAAACATTTTTGAATAAATATTTTAGAATTTATTTTAAAAATCAGAAAATTTTAAGTCTAAATTTAAAATCGGTCAGAGCCTAATCAGAATTTCTTTCCTTTAAAGAGATCCCCTTCCGAAGGATTGGAGGTCCTCATAAGGAAGGAGGTCTTTCCGAAAGAAGAATGCCCTCCAATTTTTCCTGATTGTTTGCCCTGTTAGTTAAAAGGGGTTTTCTTATGTCTATCCCCCTTCGGATAGACCTCCCTCCGAAGGGAACATCCACCCAAATGTAACCTCCTCTTCTTGTCTGTTCCCTTCGGACGGACTTCCCTCCGAAGGGAACATCCACCCAAATCTAACCTCCCCCAATCTTTTTAGGCTATTTTATGCCAAATCGACAACTCTTTGAAAATTGGGATTCTGTCCTTCTCTTCGCTTTTGTCGGCACAATTTGGAATACTTTAGCTATTGGTTTTTCTCTTTACCTACTTGGCCAATTAAATTTATTTTCTGTTGCCTTCTCCAATTTTGAAATTTTATTGTTCGCCTCATTAATTAGTGCTGTTGATCCTGTTGCTGTTATTGCCGTTTTTGAGGAAATTCATGTTAACGAATTCCTTTTTATTAATGTTTTTGGGGAAGCTTTGTTTAATGATGGTGTTAGCGTGGTAAGTAGAAAATTCTTGAATTCAATTAAATATGGGGTGAATTCTATCCTTATGGCCTACCCAAAAATATGAGGTGGAAATCTGGCTTATTAGACATAGCTCTTAATCCCTCCAATTATGCCTATCTTAATAACTGATCTTCCCAGAATCTCTCTTAATACACCCAAATCCAACTATATCCTTAATGCGACCAAATTTCTCATATCTCTCTTAATCATCCAACTCCCACTTAATCAACCAAAATCCATCGAGTTCCGAAACCACCGGATCCAGAGCTGAAGATTTTTATTTTTGGGGTTATAGTTGAGATATAATTTTTATTTTCTGCTTAATATATAAAAATTAAAATAATGAACTACTTAAGTTAAGTAAAATTAAATTATTTAGTGAAAACTCTCATTCAAAAATATGAAAATTTTTGGGACGGGGATTCAGATGAATCCCTTAAAGATTGCTGATTCCGTAAAGCCGTCGATATCATCGTTTGAATTTAGAGTTAAACTCGAATCCAGCAGGATTAACATGGCCGAGAATCGCTAAAATGGTTGGGACGGTTATCCACAAAAATCCTATATCCAGCTTTGCCTACGCGTCTTTTGATGCCTTTCATCATCGAACATGGGACATCCAGAGTGTTTTTATTAAGTCTAAAGTCTTGCCCCACTCTTGAATCTTGTCACAAACCTTCCCAATGAACAGAAAATTTAATTCAAATTGTTATCGGAAATACCTTAAATTAATTTGGGATTTAGTAAATGCTGGCAGCTATGGGGCTATTCTTATCTTTCATTTATAAAATATTTTAACTCCTCTATTAAACGTTCTAATACTAGCCATCTGGATTTCCTTTGTTCCTTTTAATAGGATGAGGCATTTTAAATAGATACCTGCACAAAAATTATTTTTTCCCTTGTTTTACTTAATATTTAAAAATTGAATTAAATTTTTATTTAAATCAAATTCCATAAAGGCTGGTTTAAATAGGAATAAGTATAAGAAAAATTTTTGGGACGAGGATTCGGCGCCAATCCTCATAAAATGTTTGTTGGGTGTACTGTAATGGATTTATATGTTTTCTATTTTACGGCAAATATATGTGACCTTAGAAATCCTTGCTTTACACAAATCGTCCTACATTTCCTCCTAAAAACCCCTACGAAAATTTCATAAACCCTAGTCAATTTAATTTATCCTCCAAAAGGTACTTTATCAAATGTTCCGCAAATTTACTCTCATTGGTGTTAACAATATTGCAGTTTTTGACTACATTGCTGGAATATTTTCTTTTGTTGTGATAGCTTTAGGGGGTACTTTAATTGGACTTTTCTTTGCTTTCTTCGTTTCTATACTGACGAGGTGAATAAAGAGGTAATTTAAATAAAAAAATTAGGGATTAAAAATGTCATAATGTCGAAATTCCAAATGTTAAAATTTCAAAATGTCATAATTTCAAAATGTCATAATTAAAAAATGTCAAAAATCATTAAAATAAAAATTTTCTTAACAGATTCACAAGTCGAGTCAAGATTCTTGCACCTGTATTTGTTTTTGTTGTTCCATATTTAGCCTATCTTTCGGCTGAAATGTTTGGATTCTCATCTATATTAGCGTAAAATTTTTTTAAATTTAGATAAGGAAGTTTTATTTTTTGGAAAATGGAACCTTCCTTAAGACTAAATTGACCTTATACGGAAATACAATTCACCGATTGGAAAAATGTTCCCTTCGGAGTGGGTCTAGTTCGTAGGGAACATTCCGGAAAATAAACATACCGGATATGAAGCATCCGGAAAACAAAATATTCTCCAACTCTATAGATAATTAAATTGATCTTTCACCGAAAATACAATTCACCGATTTATAAAATGTTCCCTTCGGAGGGGTCCCGTTCGTAGGGAACATTGCCCTTCAAGTGTAATTTAAAACCTCCAGGTGAATAAATTATCCCGCAACCTTATAATCAGTTAAAAATCTTTCAAATACTCCTACAGAATAGTAGCTTGTGGCATAATGATGAAGCAATATGTTAAAGGCAATATGAGCCATGATGCAAACAATTCAGTTAAATATTTTATCAAAATGCTTGCTCAATGTAGTGAAACTGTTATCTTTATGTTTCTTGGATTATCTACAATTTCTAGCATTCATCAATGGGATACTTCTTTTGTTTTTGTTACAATATTTTTGTGTTTATTTTATAGAACTATTGGTATGTTTTATTTAAAGAGTAGGAGGAATGTTCCCTTCGGAGGGAACATTGAACATAGATAGACATCGATAGGTGCAATCTCCCTCTTTGGGGGTCATTGTCACAAGGAGACCTGTATGAGAGAATGTTCCCTTCGAAGGGAACATTCCTTCTCCCCTCTTTTAAAGGGAACAAGGGCAAAAATGTTCCCTTCGGAGTTGTCCTCATTCGAAGAGAACATATGCCATAAAATAACTTCCACTATTAACCCACTTTTCTCTTACAATATATTTTTAAAGGTGTAATAGTTCAATGTTCTGTATTAAATCGAGTAAGGAACAAGAAATTTTCTTTGAGAGATCAATTTGTGTTGTGTTATGGCGGTCTTCGAGGAGCTATTGCTTTTGGTCTTGTAGTATCCTTACCTGCAGATATTCAAGTTTAAATTAAAATTAGATAAAATGAACCAAGTTTTTATAGGCTAAAAGAATGTTTGTGACTACTTGGTAAGTAAAAAATTAAAATTTGGAAAGGGGAACGTGCCTTAATGATAGGAGGAGGAGGGCATGTCGTAGAGGGCCTCGTTCGTAGGGAACACTACTGATAAAAATCTAAGATATGCCTTTCTATTAGAGAGGCTGTTAGAAAACTCTGGGTGAAAGGGTGAGAACTGTATTGTCTTCCTTTTTGAGGCCCTCTCCAATTATAGTCACATTTAGCTTAAATTTATAGCATTGCTGTGATCTTCTTTACTGTCTTCTTAATGGGTATAACCATTAGACCGTTACTGTTTCTATTAAAAGTGGAAAAGGCTGATCTTGATTATGAAGCAATGATGGTCGAGAAGGTAAATACACGATACAGAATTATGTAAAATAGTTTGTGGCAAACTTGAGAAAAAATTTAAATTTTGTAGGGGTGTGCGCATCACCCCCGTTCCAAAAATTCCTATATTAAAACGATAGATCTAAATTAATTCACTTTGTTTATTCTTAAGCATTTATTAATTAGAATTTTATATATTAAGTAGAGGGTATCTAAAGTTACTTAAAAATTTTATTTGGAGGGAACAGCTACTAGTCTGTAAGGAACATACTACTAGTGTGTAGGGAACATCCTAATAGTGGCTCTGTGAATGGAACATTTCATATGGAACTTCTTAAAAATCGTACTTAAACGGATCTTAGCGATAATTTTGAAAAGGATATCCAACTCAAAAATCTATTTTTAAAGGTTTACAACAAATACTTTGATTACACAATGGCTGGGATTGAGGATATTATCGGGCAAAGAGGCCGACACTTTTTTAGAGATTCTTTTGAGAGATTCAATGCAAAGCTTATTAAGCCTTTACTAATGAGGCATGTTAAACGCAAAGCTTTTGATGCTAGTGACATTGTTAGGGCCTATAATAAAATTACTGTAAGTCTGAATATTATGTAGATGACTCAAAAAATTTTTTCTTCATTTTTTAGCTAACTGAGGCTGTCAAAATTGCTCAGGTTGGAAGGAAAATGACCAAGTAATACCTATCTTAAAATTATCTCTTAAAATACCATATTCTCTCAAACAACCCCATGAGTGTCACTTCATCCCTCTCTACTGGAAATTGACTTAATGTGGTTATGAAAATACAATGCCTGGGTATTATTAGCTAGAATAATTTATCCCAGGTGACGTTCCCACCGGGATATGTACTTATTCGCATGTTCGAGGGGATGAGACTGTAACAATTGGCAATACTACTTAAAAAATAATTGAAAGAAATAAATGATTTACTGATTCTGATTCATTTTAGACAAGCAAGTAGACCTCATAGTCAGTCAATAGCTTCTGCTTATATGGAAACAATTAATGGGAGCACAATTTCAAGGAGTAATACAATGAAGAGAGAGATTGATCAGGTATATTTTTTACTGAATATTTTTTCGGATATTTTTATCAAATAGAGCGGCCTATTTTGTATATAATAAGCTTTAAAAAATAATAAATACTCCAAGTTTTAGTAAGTTGTAGATTTTTAAAAATAGTCAAACTTAGGGGTAGACCTAGTCCATTGCGTATATCTTTCTCTTTATCTAAATTAATTTTTCTGAAATTATTTTTATTAAATAGAGCACACTTCATAGTATATTTTAACACTTTAAAATATAAAGATACCTTTAACTTTCATAAAGTTATGAATTTTTGAAACGTAGAGGTCACGCACTATGAAAATCGGACATTTCCCCAAAAATTCTGATAATTTTAAAATTTAAGTTTTAAAAATTCTGGTTTCTTCTGATATATAAAAATCGAAATCTAAATTATATTATTCAAGTATATGGCCAGTCAAGACAACATGGAAGCCTTGTACACAATGTTTTCTCGTTTGTTGGACAGAAAGGTTGATGAACTTAAAAGAGTACAATCTGAAGGAAGTGAAAGGAGAGAAAATAATGATGATATTAAGGTAGGGTTTGAAACGAGAATTTTGAGAGAATCAAAAAAAATTTTTCAGAAATTTTAGAAATATTTTAAAATTTTCAAAAAATTCTTCAGAAAATTTTTGAAAATTTTTTAAAAATTTTTTCAGAAATTTTTTTTCGCTTATTCGCCTAATTTTTAAATTTTTAAGGATGATTACATGGATATTTTAATAACCAAAGTTCAATTAAATCAACAACAACCCTCAATATCAGTAATAAATACCGCTAGAAGGACCTCAAATCGTAGTAAAACTGATAATAAGCTTAACGTCAATGTGAGAAACGTAAGACATTAAAATTCTTGAACTATTTATCGAATCCGTTATTCCATATCCTTAAATGGAGCGGGGTGGGTTATATAACGGAAAATTACCGTCATTATGCCCTAAAGTTCCTTATAAATATCCTTAGATTCTTATATGGCCTTGTTAAAGTCCATAGGCCCTCCTTATAAAACTAGATCTGTTCTTAATACTTTAAATGAGTTAAATAGCCTTATAAATCCTTTTTAATACAGAAAATAACTTGCTACGACGTTAAGAAAGACAGTATATCAAATTTTTCTCCACTAACTCGAAGAATGTCACAACCCGACCTGCGTTTAAGTCAAATTTCTACCACTGATAATTCTGATACTAATGAAGAAACAAGAAGGAATACAATAATTAATACACTAAAAATTCCAAAAAATTCAGAAAATGAGGAAAAAGAGAGCAAAATTTAACTGTGTTAAAGGGGACGTTATTGCAGTTGGGACGAAATGTACCCCGCTGTAAAATACTCAAAAGAAGGCGTAGATTCTTGAAATTTTGTAGCAATGTCGTGGATAGTCTTACTTATCAAAATTAAAAATTTCAGAATTTTTGTTTGAAATTTCAGAATTTATGATTAAAAGAATCAGAATTATCCACTTTTTAGCTGCTTTTTTGGCCATAGCTTTGGAACCAGTGGACCGAAAATTCTCAAATTTTCAGAAAATGTAGCTAAGACTGTCCTGAAGGCATGTACAAAATTTCACAAGGCTAGCTTTATTAGGTAGATAAATAAGTACAAGTAAACTTTCGAGGTACTCATGCACTAACGTCTCCAAAATAAATTACAAAATTTTAAAAATCAGAATATTTTGTTATTTTATTAAATTTGGGTTAAATATATTTTATCAGTTGATAAGTGAATTTTATAAATAACCCTTTTTATTAAGTAAGATGTTCCAATTGGGATAGTCAATTATGCAAGTGACATAAAATAAATTTATTTTTACTCCGTATATGAAAATTCAAATAAATAACTATTTGATTCTGTGGAATATAATATTTTTTGCAATTCATACACGATGATATTATGTTTTTGGATGAGGGTTCGGAACCCTCAAATAATTTTCCACTGACAAACTGGAGTATGTAAAAGTAGAATTAATTATTAAAATTAATTAAATAATTGGAATGACTATTTGAATGCCCCCGCTAATTGAATGCGCCTATGGCGAATAGAGATTACACAAACGGCGAAATCAAATATTATTGAAAATATCTGATTTTTTCCAAAAGTTTTCAAACAACTATTTGATTAAACCAAATCAAATATTCTAAAATTTAATCAAATATGTTTTGTCCGATCTAATGGAGGATGCTTGAAAAATACAATGCCCCCTCCTCCTCTAATATTTCAATCACAAATCTGAAGGTGGTCGAAAAATAGAAAGCTCGGGCATTCTTTTAGAGATTCCATTCTTTCAGGCATTCTTTTAGAGAATAATCACAAGTCGTTTCCACTTAATTTTGTATTAGTCTAATTATTACATTTTGAGGAGGTCTAAAAGACCCCCGGCCCAAAAATTCATCCGTTTTGAAAGAACCAACAAATTAATAAGTCATTTAATTATTTTTATAAATTCATACATATTTTAAATTTAATATATTAAGTAGAATTTTTATTAAATTTTTTTAAAATTAATTATTAAATCCCTTCTTTGTTTATGCCGAAAAGCTGCGCATGTATCTGATAAACATAGGCCTATGTGCCCCATATTTTGTGAAGCGACTATATGGAGTGTTGAAATCTGGTATTGTTGGGGAGTAGAAACTATTGGAAAAATTTTTTCTGAAAAGTATATTTTTACTTTAAAACCTTCTTATTCGTCCTTGTTGACGCCAAGTGCTTCTAAATAATTTTATGTTAATCAGGGATTATTTTGGAATGAATGTTCCCTTCGGAAGACCCTCAGCCTTGGGAAGTATCTGAAGGATCCTTTCCTTCGGAGTTGGACACATCCGAAGGGTTCCTGGCTATTATAATAAAAACAGCCTTTTTAATTATGGTTATACTCCATGAGTCCAAAAAGCTCGTAACTCTACCGAGATGTTAATAGGCTCTTGCTCAGACGCTCCCCACCCATAGGGACCCATCTAAAATGAAGGTAAACTAAACTGCGTGCCAACTTCTAAGAGAGAGGTCCTATCGTTGAAAAAGTCTCTTATAATGAGCGTATCTCAAACAGGATATGGCTTTATTTAAACATAAATTTGAACCTACCCTGGATGAGGGACTCTTTTCTCATCAACTGCATAGAAATCTTCAGTCTAAAAATTTAAAAAAAGTTTAAAAATTAATTAAAAATATTCTTACATCTGTCAAAACTTGAGGTTGTTCATTAATTTCATTTTGACAATTTAATTTTAAAATGAGAGAAAATACAGTAATCAAAATGAGAGAATTTTGAAGCAAATTTTTGTTGGAGAACATTATTTTACTTAATATTTATTTTAATATTAATCACTTTTGAGCCTAATTCTTATCGAGTCGGGCCGTATATCTTTTACGGGCCAAATATCTTAGGCTTGACTCGATCTTTAGGTCCGAATCGGTCCATTTTGAAAACCCTACTAACTATGTTTACAAGTTGTAGGTTCGGTTCCGTTTAAGTAAATTAATTTTTTAGTATCAAAAAGTCTAGTTGACTATTTTAAACATTTTTACCCAGATTTTTGAACTCAGCATATATTTTATTACGAAAGAAAACACATTTTTTGTAGTGTTAATGTGCATTAGTATTGGGGGAGAACTTTAGGTTCCCTTCGAGGGTACTCCTATCCGAAGGGAACAAAGTCATTTCCTATGTAATCTTGAGCGATAGTCATTTCCTCCATACATCATAATATAGTTCAAAATTAAGGAAAAAAAGAAACTAGGTTGCCTTTGGAGGATACCTCTTCCCTTTCGGAGTGTCTTCTTCGCAAGTTCCCTTCGAATGGAACATCTCCCGTCCGAAGGGAACATTTCCCTCCGAATGGAACATTTCCCGTCCGAAGGGAACATTTCTTACATTGACAAAGGAAATGACTTTTGTTTTTACTTTAACTTTTGGCAATAGGCCTTAAAATATTGAGCAAAAAACGTTTTTCCAGTTAAACAAATTTAAAATAAAAATTATCTAAAATAAGCATTTCACCGCTAAAAGGTGCCAATACTTTCCCCACTAAAATAAGTTGAAGGAAATTCCAAAAAAAGTTCTTTCCTCCCTTTCGCCCCAAATAAAAGTCAATTCAATTTATTAATGGATTTTAAAAGGAAAAAGTTATTTTTGGAAAGAATGGGCCAAAAAACCAAAAAAATTTTTGTCTTTAATTTTTTGGGTCTGCGCCAAGATGACCCCCAAATTAACAAATTCACCCAAATACAAATTAATTGTAGTGAATTTAAATATGATCATATCGGCGTCTTTATATTAAAGAAAGGGATGGTCACTTAGGAGGGAATATTCACTTCACAGGGGTATGGGACGGAGGAGGATCGGAATTCTGATTTCCGAAAATCTACAATTTGGGCACCTTCGTTTCCAACTCTGATATGGAAACCTTCAAGAGGTCACATCGGTAAGCTTCTTGCGGAGTGGTATATTCCAGTCAAATCGGAGGTTACCGTTTCCTTTAAGGAACATACCCATACGAAGGGAATCTCTCTCTCTCTCGAAGGGGGGTCTGTCCCTCGTACGAGGGGGCTCTGTTCCTTTCGAAAGGGTGTATCCGTTCGGAGAACATGTTCTCTTTTGAGGTATATTCTCCCTTCGGAGATGTTCTCTTCACAGGGATAGATCCTAATCCTCCAGAAAAAATTCCATTGCCCACCCTCACCTTTTCTAAACAATTTTTTAATTTTTAATGCTTTAAGGGCGAAAATTGAAGAAAAAAAATAAAATAAAATTTTTAATAGACGTGCCAATAAAATAAAAAAAAAGCTTTTAACCAACGGAAATTGTTTGGTCTATTTATTTATTGTTATGCAAAGGAATGCCAAAAATCTTTTTGAAAAAAATTTTTTTCTCAAGTGTTTATAATAATTTTAAAATTGTAAAATGTGGCACTTAAATTTATTTTTTTTTTGAATTTTTAACAAATAATTTTTTTTAATAAATATACATATAATTGAATTAATAAATACAGAGCAAATTTAACGAAAGAAACTTTAAAAAACTATAAAATACTCTTGAACAGTAGCTAAAATTTTTTTGAAAATTTTTCTTTTGGAAAGACTGAAAGGAATGATGATTATTATTATCAAATTTATTAGATTGGAGAAACATTGAGTGCTAAAATTTGACAAAAATGACTTCGCCAAAATAAACTTTTGAACATTTTTACGCGAATGACCAATACATATAATATAATATGTTTATCTTATTCCTAGAATGCAGAATAATATTTTTGAGGGTTTTAACCCCCATTCAAAAATAATAAGATCCACGTTGGAGAAACCGTAACAATAAAATTGTCTTTTAAGAATTTTAAAATTATTTAATTGAATTAATAAATGCGGAGTAAAATTAATCAGGGATCTTCAACAAAGCTAAAGAATTTTTTGAGGATTTATAACCCCCATTCAAAAATAAGTGTTGAACAAAATTATTTACCATGCATATAACTGTTTTCTTTCAAGAGTTTTAATAATTATTTAATTGAATTAATAAATATGGAGTAGAATTAATTAGAAAATTTAATAAATGATAAAAGCTATACATCTCTTTCATCAAACTTTTGACAAAGATAAATTTTTGACCCAAATGAATATTTTACCATTGTGAACTTTTGACCAAGTGAAATGTGACAAATTGAAGTTTTGGCGAAATTGTGTTCTTTTAAAATTCTCTTACTTTGTGGGTATTTTAAAGGGAAATAATTTTGGAAGAAATTGAACAGCTGTTGAACTTTTATTAAACTTTTGGCCATTTTTAGGCCAGCGTTAAATATCAACTCAGTAAATCGTAAAAAATATTTTTTGTGGGTTTATCACCCCCATTCAAAAATAAATGATACAAGTTACAGCCTTATGTGAAAAAATTACGTTCAAGTATTTTAATAAATATGATTTAATTGAATTAATAGATGCGGAGTAAAAATCACTAGGGGAATTTCAATAAACGTTCAAAAAAGACAATGAACGTTTGGCCAAGTCAATTGTGACAGATTGAAGTTTTGGCGAAATTGTGTTCTTTTAAAATTCTCTTACGTTGTGAGTATTCTAAGGTGAATAAATTTTTGAAGAAATTGAACAGCTGATGAACTTTTATTGAACAAATCGCTTTGGGAATTTAAAATAAAAATTGGAAGAGAAAAAATAAAGGTTAAATGTTTTTGGGGAACAGCTGTGAGAGAAAATTTCATTTTAAAAATATTTGTGATCTTTAGGGTATAAATTGGAGATATGTAGATCGATTTGTTTGGATATGCTTGCCTGTCTTAAAAAATTTTTTTTAATATCTATTTGAAACAAGGATTTAATACACACACTTTTTTTCTGTTCCTTTTGTTAATAGGAATGTTTAAGTCCTTCATTGACTCACTTTATAACCCTAGATCCTAAAAATGATAGGCGATGCGGAACGCAAAAGACACACTCCTGGTATGTTTCCATACAAGGCGTGCTCATTTCACAAGAACGTGTTCACAAGATTCCCTCTTTCGGATAGTTACACTTTACGAATTTTTTTTTCTTCTTTGTTTTTATTAAGCTTTATATGTATGATTCTTAAATAAATTCAAATTTACTTAATATATAAAAATTTAATTATTTTCGATTAATAGCTGTAAATTACCTTTGTTCATTGTTAGAGATGTACTTTGGACTTTTTATTTTTGTATGGGGAGGGTTATACTCCCTAAATATGTATGTTATTATTCAACCTTGTAGGTGTGCAGAACTGGTCAATCGGGCTTTGATTTTTGGCACGGAAAAGATCGATTGTTCCGGCCCGATAAAAATGAGGCCCGGAAAACCCTAGAAAACCCCTAGTCTTTTTCTATTCAAATGGTTCATTGTGAATGATGTCATATTTGATTGTCAAGGCCTTCATTGACTATACGGTTAACCGGTGCTTGATATATTTTTTATAAACCTTCGGCTCCTTCCTTTCGCTTTATAAATAGGCAGAACCCGTAATTTTCCAAACCCATCTGTTCATATAATATCTGCCGGGTAGGTACGTTCCTATATAAACTGGAGATCTGACTGGGAGTGTTGTACCTGAATCGAGATCGATATCTCAACAAATCTTGATATCTATTGTTCGAGATCTTGTCCCTATTTTGTCTGTTTAATAAACACACCCCTAAAATCTTTAACAATTTCAGAAAAATATTTTAAAAATCCCCAAAAAAATGTACGAAGAAGAAACCCGAGTCTACACAACAACGTCAACAGGCCAAAGATACATCCAACCTTCCGGCCCTCTATACGACGGAGGGAATATAGAATGCAACCCTTGGCTCGACACAAGCTACTTGAAGACTTTACCCGGCCTATTAAAAATTATTGTAATTTGTTTCAATTTTCTTTGCTTCATGGCTGTGTTGATTGGAGGGCCTGCCTATTATGCGGGCGTTGGAGGTGCTACTTTTGTTTCTGTTTTTGGATTTATTATTTCATTGACTCTGCTAATGCTCTATTTGTTCCATATTGTGGACCAATGGCCTCAGATTCCTTGGATTGTTTGTGTGGGTTTTTAATTTAGTTGTTGACAAAATGGTGAAAATCGGTTTTCTAAATAGTTGGATTTACTCCATATTTAAAAATTCAAATAAAAATAATTATTTAGTTTTGTGAAAGAAATCGAATACATTCTCCAAGCAGGAAGGATTAGATTATTTTTGAATGGGGATATGAAAATCCTCAAACTATTGTTGACAATATGGTGAAAATCGGTTTTATAAATAGTCGATTTTTACTCCATATTTAAAAATTCAAATATAAATAATTATTTAATTTTGTGAAAGAATAAAGCAAATCCGTTCCGCAAGATTGGATTTATTTTTGAATGGGGATAAAAAATCCTCAAAAATATTGTGTATAAAATTGCATTACTGATCATATTGAAAGTTTCGTTATTTGCCAAAATAAAAGTACCTAGCCCATTTAGTTTGGGACCATTCCTTACCCAATATTGAAACTTCTGAAACTTCTAGCCAATTTTTAAAAATTTCAGAAATCAATTCTAACTTTTAAAAATTTCTAGTGATCGGGCAAGGAATGATCGAAACCCCATTGGGCGTAGATCCTAAGCATGAAGAAAAGTTTTGAAACCATATCCTAACTTTGCAATACTAAGAAAATCAAATTTTTTGTGATAGGACGCATAAAAGCTGATTGGACGCATAAACTCTATCAGCGCCAAAACTCATATAACAAATTTATTTGAGGATTTTTCTATCCCCATTCAAAAATAAAATCTTACTTCCGGCACGGATTGTATTTGTTTTCTCTCACAAAATTAAATAATTATTTTTATTTAAATTTTTACATATGGAGTAAAAACCAAATTAGAAAACAGATTTCCCCATATTATTGTTTTATCCAAAAATTTCTATTAAATTTAAGGAAATGATTTACTGCTTTTCTTGGACCATATTCTATTTTATTGCTGGTTCTGTACTTGCTGTAGCGTCTGTCAGTCATTACCATGCAGCTGGTTGGGCTATAGCCGCGGTGATTTATTTTTTTAACGTTTTATTCACCCTAAAGTCTAGGAAATTCTTATTACAACTCTCGTCTCCTCACTTTTCCTTTCTTAATTATCAGTGCTGGATTTAGGACAAACTGAGTTGAAGAACCGGCTCGAGGGCCATACAAAGCACCGACTTCTACGATCCCTACTTTTTGAATTTCCTGCAATATCCATGACAGTGGGTAAATTCACCCTCAACAATTCACCCTCTAGCTAAGTAGTAGTTAAATTTAATTTCTTAAAGGGTTAAAAGGGTTATTTCCAAAAGGGTCCAAAAGGGTTATTGCAATTGACAACGTAAATTACTCTCAAAGAACAACAATTTTCTAGGGATTCTCGGAAGTTGAGGGATTTTGAAGAGCTCATCTCGCTATGGAATAGATCCTTACCATTTGTTATCTCCACTATCTAGTCTCGAATTTTGTAGGGATTCGTTTGAATCCCCGTCCCAAAAATTTGTTGTGACGGTGACATTATATTTTTGAATTGTTATTTCTTGAATCCTTATTTGCTTACTTAACTCATATTTTAACATGTATATATTAAGTAGAAATTACTTTTATACTTTTATCCGACTCCGAGATTTCTTTGACCAACATTTTGGTTCAAACTTGATTTTGAATATATTCCCTCCAGCATCATTAAATAAAAAATCCTGGATTCAATTAAAAAAATTTTTCATATCACACCCAATCACCCCACAAATATCCTCCTAAAATCCTTCAAAATAGCCTCCCAAACTCATTTAAAAATGCATAACTTTTTGAAAAGTTGAGCTAAAATTTTGATTTTTGGCTATTTTGTAGCTTAGAATCTCCTCTTTCCAATGCTACAAAAATAACTTTTGTAGCTTCACTCAGTAAAATACAGAAACCCTTTTAAAGATTGTTAGTCGGCCTCTTTGTCCTTATTATTGGAACTGATTTTTAAAAATTAATTTTCCCAAATTTCCAGTTTTTCGGTTTCTCCGCAATGTTGGCATACGCTCTCGACTGCTACCTTAAATTCTTGGCGTGGAAGAACAATGAAAGGGCAATGGGAGGGATGGGAGCGGGTGGAGGCAGAGGTGGACTTCCCAATGGAAGAGGGATGGAACACTATTAAAATTTTAATTTTTGAAAATTAATTTTTAAATCTCAAAAAACCTCTCTAAAAAATTTTTATTGTAAATTTAAAAGTTAATAAAGAAGGAACTGAAAATAATTTACATAATATACAAAATTTAAATATAATTTTCTTATCAACATTTATCCTTGAATGCAGTACTTTAGACATTTTCGTATTTTTTCTATTTTTGGATAAGGAGAAAATATGTACTCCTTAAACTATTTTTAAGCCTTGTTATTTTCAGCCGTTATTTTCAATGACCTGGCCAAGTGCTGGTAAATGCCTTTAAAAGATAATCCATGATGCATTTGCTATTTTTGTAGCATCATTCGCTCCTTAACTAAGGAAATATTTTTTTCTGAAAAATAATTTTTTGTTAATTTATACGTGTAAATTTGAAGGGCTATCGAATAAGCCTAAAAAATTTTGAACAAACCCTAAGGTTTCGAAAAAATTTACCGTATTTATTCTAATTGAATGGCCGCCATTCTATTTTTCAATACCCCAAAAAATCGTCATTCTATTGGAGTTATCTGGATCGTAATCTAAATAATTCCAAAGTACAGCCTTATAAGGACATGACCTTCCTACATTATTTTTAGTTTCAGACTGAAAACTATATTTGGCAGAGCCTTATTTAAACGTTTTTGGCCAATTCTTCAAAAACAATTTTTGAGGATTTCTATATCCCCATACAAAAATATTGCCTGCCTAATGACATCATTTGTATGTAATTTGTTCGAAAAATTTTAATAATTATTTATTTGAATTTTTAAATATGAAGTAATATTAACTAGAATTATTTCACAAAATTTATAATTTATATGAAATGTATAAGGACTGATCCCTGACCCCGAGTGACCACATTGCCTTTTAAGCGTTTTAAATGCTAGATTTTCTGAATATTTTCTTTCTGTATTTTTAAATCTATTTAATATACAAAAATTTATTTAATTTCTTTTATTAACTTTTAGTTACGGTTTTGCAATGATGTATCTTGGTGATTTTGTAATATTTTTGAATAGGAATGGATAATTCCTAAATAATTTTCTTGAATGGATGGAATGTGTAATCTACAGTTATTGAAATTTAGTTCTTTCGTTTTTTTCGTTTTTCGACAAAACATCTTTAAAATGCTAGATTTTGTTAATGAAACACACATGAATTTTTTCCGATGAAAGGGAAAAATTTTGGCTCTATTACACAATATACGTCCAATCAACTATTATGCGTTCAATCAGCTTTTATACGTCCAATGAAAGTTTATGCGTCAAATAAAAAGTTCATGCGTCCAATGAAAATTTATGCGTCCAATTAAAAGTTTATGCATCCAATCAAATTTGTACGTCGAATCACATTTTTAACCATCGGAAACAATCGTAGTACCTGCGGCTATATTATTTGCTATAATTGGGAGAAGTGTATAAGCTGTTCTATCAGCAATATGGAAGAAACGGACTTTATTAGTTACTCGCTCGACCATACCAAGTTGTATTGACGCATTAACATATTTGTATTATACTTAGCCAATTTTGACTTATCAACTTCTACACGCGACCTAACATTGTGTTAACTTGAACTCTTGTTGCGCATCCCTGACAAAGGTCTCGAAGAGACTTATAATAATCCACGAGAGTATTAGGAGATATTACATGTGTTAGTTTCGGCTTGAACGGTAGCGAGTTTACTTGTTTGGTGGGTAGACCAGTAATAAGCGACACACATTAAATTCTTTTCCTAAATTATTTTTAAAAAATCTCTGTTAGCCCTTGAGCAAGCTCACGAGCAAATTCTTTCCTAAATTATTCTTAAATGAATCTCTGTTAGCCCTTGAGCAAGCTCACGAGCAAGAATTTATTTTTTGCTGGACGAATAAAATTTATTTGGACGCATAAATTTTCATTGGACGTATAAAATTTGAATGGACGTATAAAAGTTGATTGGACGCATAATAGTTGATTGGACGTATATGTATTGTGTAATAGAGCCAAAATTTTTGAAAAGAGATGGGGAGCACAATTTATCTTCGTTAAAATATTTTAATTCCACTCTAAATTTCATCCTGAATGTTTTCAAAAATTCAGGAAGAAGGAATTGATATCACAAAAAAATTTAAATTTGCATAATATATATTAATTTAATTCATTTCCTTTATAAACTTTAATTTAAGCACAGCTATTGTCGATAAAATTCTTCGTCGTTGTTGTTCGATATTTTTGGATAGGGAGAAAATTCTTCCTAAATAAGTTTTAACAGTAATTTTGGTGTGAAGCAAATGCACGTGCCTTTTAAATTCTTAAAGGTTTGAATAAATACATATGGGCAAATTTTATTTTTAGATAGAGGGATTTAAATATAAATTACAAAATTAAAATTAATAGTATTATTCGGAGGTTTTTAATTAAAAATTCATCAGCATTTTTTGATCCAACTCCTTTTCTTTTAATGAATTTTTGCTTGTCTCTTTATGTTGCCTTTTGACTTGCTGTCTACTGTAATAAATTTAAGGTTAAAAATTTTTTTAAAGTTTTACGGAGAAACTTGAGATTACATAAGGGGAAGCTTAAACTGACAACAACTCCTTTTAAACTGCTAAGAAGGGGTTGGAACGGTTAGAGCGTGAGAATGAAGGAAGCTTCATAATGACGAGGGCATCTCACCCTTTTCCGAAGGAACAAGACTATAGGCGAGAAGACTTCATTGCTCCAGTAGCTCTATCAATGGTACACCTAAACATTCCTAGAAAGCTGCCTAACTTTATCTAGTGAAGTTAAATAGAATGTTCCCTTCGGACGGAAAAAAAGTTCCTCGAATGTTCCCTTCGGACGGAAAAAAAGTTCCTCGAATGTTCCCTTCGGACGGAAAAAAAGTTCCTCGAATGTTCCCTTCGGACGGAAAAAAAGTTCCTCGAATGTTCCCTTCGGACGGAAAAAAAGTTCCTCGAATGTTCCCTTCGGACGGAGCTCCCTTCGTAAGGAACACTTTCTGTTAGTTACCTTTCCCTTTGAAACGAAGTCTCGGTTTTTCAACCATTTTTCTTGGTGGCATTTTTTGTTTTCTTCTTCCAACACTATTTATTGCCAACACACCGTTGTCTCTATAAGGAACACGTTTTCGGAATTTTAAATTTGTGGCAAAATGTTGAGAAGGTCCAAAGCCAACAACACTTCCTTTAATTAACGGAGAGTGATTATTATGGTAGACATTGGCTGTAGACTGATTGAATAGTGTAAAAATGGAGATGATTAATAGAATGAATAAAAATCGAAATTTTGTTGGCATTATGTTTAATTTTTTATTTTTCTGAATAAAATTATTTTAAAATTTTACTTAATATGTAAAATTTCAATTAATTTTTTTATTAACTTTTTCTTAATTAACTGTAATTTTAAGTTGATTTTCAAGATATTTGTAATGTATTTTTGAATAGGGAGAAAATAAATTCCCTAAACATTTTCTTTTTGGCATTTTACTGTGAAACTTCAGCTAAATAACTACTTAAAGTCTAAACCGATTAAAACTATTTTGGTATCATTCGACAAAGAATTAAATTTGCTACAAAAGCGTGTTAAATCAGAAATTAATGATTTTTAATCAGAAATTTTATGATCAAGCTACTTTAAGTTGTGGCCAAAATACTTGCAATTTTAGGCAATATTGTCAGTTTTTCGATCATAACTTTTGTTGTTATCTATCAAAAATTTTGATTTTATTTGATTCTATGGCAAATTTAATTCTCTATCTAATGATACCAAAATCACTTAAATCAGTTGGGAAGATTAGGAGCCTGAAAATTCCGTTGGTCGGTTAAAAATTAACGATGAAACAATTAATATTATAGAAAACTTAAATTTGCATAATATGTATTAATTAAATTAATTTCTTTTATCAACTTTTAATTTAAAACTTATCATTAAATTATTGGGATCAGTTCTTATATTTTTGAATGGGGAGAATAAACTTCCTAAATAATGTTCTAAGATTCAATTCTTTTGCGAAGAAAATGACATTGACATATTATCAGTTTTTCGATCACAACTTTTTTTGTCGTCCATCTAAAATTTTAATTTTTCCCGGATTTATAGCAAATTTAATTCTCTATCGAATGATACCAAAACCAGTGTGGTCGGTTAAAAAGCTCAAGAGTTATAGAGACTGAACCACCAATGGTCTTTATCTATACAAAAGAGAGGTCATTTTATAAAAAATTTTCTGAAAAAAATTTTTTTCTTTAAAAAAATATTGTGAGAATAAAACAAAAATGACCATTAAATCCTCCAAAAATATATTTATTTTTAGTCAGGAGTTGTTATACAAACAAATTCGGGAAATAAATATGCGCAGAGGACAACAAGTATTGTTTGATTGTCCATTTAAAAGGAGGGGGGATATCTCAAGTGTTTTGGTGGAGAATACAAAAGAGGAGTTTTTAAGTTGACTTTAAGCTAAAAATAATTATTCCAAAAAAAAATGTTTTTAAAAATTGAAAAAAAATATATTAAGTAAATTTTTATTGTGCTTTATGTAGTTAAGCATGGGGTGTGGTAAGAGATTGGATGTAATGCTTAAGGATGGGGTGTGCTTAAGGATGGGGGAATATTCTTTTTATCTTCCATAGTAGTTTAAACTCAAAATCGGAACAAATAAAATTACCAATTATTTGGTTGACCCAACCAATGAAAATTTATTTGTTTTATCTTCACTGAACAGATAAAATAGATACCAGAACAAATAAAATAACAAATAATTAGTAAACCCTAATTGGAAAATCAGAATAAATCAGAATAACCAATTAATTGGCAACCCTAAAACAAATAAAATTTATTTGGTTTGCGTTCAATGATCAAATAATTGGGAAACCAGAACAAATGGAGACAACCAATGAAAATTTATTTGGTTTCCCTTTAACAATTAACCTCTTAGATTATATTTAAATTCACTTAATATATAAAATTTCAATTAATTTCTTAATTAGATTTTACATTGCATTTGTTCATTACTTGTTTCCGTTTGAATTTTTTTTCGTAATTTTTGAATGGGGAGAAGTTACTTCCCAAATAATTTACCCCAACCATTGAAAAATAAATAATTAGTAAACCAGAACAAATAAAATAACAAATAATTGCTTTCCCCTAAATTAGAATAGACCAAATAAAAACAATGAAAATTTATTTGTTTTTCATTTAACAATTAATTGGTCAGAAAAAATATTTTTTTGAACAAATACCTAATGTAAATAAACACAAAACTGACCATAACAACCAAAAAAGAATTTCAAGTATCTCTCAAAAATATGCTAAAAAATTCAACAGCTCGCCGCTTTTGTACCAAACAAAAAAGTACTTGAAAGAAATATATACTGGAAATTATATTTTTATATTTACTTGAGTAATCCAGAATTTTTTAAGGCTTGTAAGTAATATTTTAAAAAAAAATTTTTTGTTTGCGAACAATTTTCGTGATAAATTGATGGAAGATTAGGCTCCCTGAAATAGAAATCGGTTGGAATTCCGATTTCCGACAGTTACGAATTCCAGCACACTTGTCATTTCCGACGTAGTCTTATTTTAAAAGACCTTATTCTGTTAACCTCAGTTTTTGTATTTTTTTACTCCGAGCTTTCAAATTATTAGCAAAGGCCATTGACGATCAAATTGAATATAACGATAAACATAAAAGCTTAGACAATTATTTAGAGAGCAATTATTTCTCTCTATCCAAAAATATACGTATCTACCAATACACGCCGCGACGTCGTTAAATAATTTGTAAAAGTTGATAAATTGAATTAATTCAATATTTGCATATTAAGTAAATTTGAAATAATTATATATTTACTTAGTGTTAATTTAAAAAACTTGAGACTTGACGGAAGGCGGAGCAACTTTTGTGTGTAAATTGTTGAAAAATTGGGTTCCCTAAAGCAAAAGTCGGTTGAAATTCCGATTCGGCCATCGACAAGAATATAATAAAAATATGCCCTGTTGCATTTTAAAAAAAATGACGGACGACAACTGATAATCTTTCAACACATAGAAGGTTTGGACAATTATTTAGAGAGTATTTATGTCTCTCTATTCAAAAATATAACCTACAAAAAAAACCTACAAATCCATTTCACATTTTATGTTAATGATGATAAATAGAATTAATTGAATTTTTTTATATTAAATAAACTTTATAAAAATAAAGAATTATTTCGCGCACAAAATAAATTCCTTGTTAACTCATTGTCAGAAATCCCGATTCCGAGAAAAATCAGCAATTTTGATGCAGAAAAGACCAGAATTTTTGATTCCAAAAATCAGAATTTCTGAGTAGAAATGATTAGATTGCTGATTGTAAAAAGACAAACACTTATTTAGAGAGTACATTCTTCTCCCTATCCAAAAATATACGAATCTGCAGAAGTCTTTGATCAATCCATAGTTACTTTCTATGAAAGTGTTAATAAATTGAATTAATTGAATTTTTGTATATTAAGTAATTTTAAAATAATTTACATACGCAATACACTTTTATTCCAAAAAACTTTAGACTTGACGGAAAACAAGGTCTACCCCATTTGTATAATATTTAGGTTTTTTGGGATAGCTGTTTTAAATAAAAAAAATTTATTTTACTACAAGAATCACTTAAAAACTTTAATAGGAAAATCAAAGAAAAATATTTTTAAATATCAGGCACTCCAGTTAAAAATCATTTGCAGCACTTCCGACAAAAATTCTGAAAAGTTTGGAATGACAAGGGGAATGATTTCCTACATTTTTCCCTAATTCTAGGACCTGAACCGATATTTAATGATTTCCTACATTTTTCCCTAATTCTAGGACCTGAACCGATATTTACTGTTATCCAGATCCGAAACTGATAATCTCCCACAACAATTTGAAATAATTATTTAGAGAGCAAATTCCTCTCTAGCCAAAAATATATGATAAAAAATCCCAGAAAAGCCAGTTAGAATCTCTTTTATTCTTTTCGACCCTCATAGAGCACTGATAATCCCGAATGAAGGAAACTTCCACAAGAACTCGAAAGTTGAAATAATTTTAAAAAGGGTAAGGTCTACGGATACTGATCCGAAAATCTAACTGGGTATCAGAAAATTGCCAACATATTAGAGAGTAATATTTCTCTCTATTCAAAAATAAAGCTTTTACAGTTTGAATACTGGCCGTCATAATTTTATGTAAATGTTAATAAATAGAAGTAATTAAATTTTTTCATATTAAGCAAATTTGAATAGGGACAGATGTTTTAATTGATGAAAAAAGAAAATTTATTTTATTTCAAAAAGCTCTTAAAGACATTAATTAATAAAAAAATTAAAAAGTATTTTTTAAATATCAGGCACTCCAGCAAACAAATCACTGTGAAAATAAAAAAGTCTATCCACGTCGATTTTGAACGTGCCATCCTTTGCCCATAAAGAGCCCCAGCTGTTTACTGCAAAATTAAAGTTGAATTTAATTTGTTTGGTTTGCGCCGAAATGACTCCAAATTTTCTGTGACTAGAAAAATGAGATGGGATGATTTTAGTGGTCATTTAGGCGCAGAACTTCTGGCGTTAAATAACTTTTAATTAAATTTGAAAAATGCATAAAAGCGTTGAGGAAGGTCCTAAATTTCCAAAATTTTGTAGAGATACTATTCTATATGTCCTTCAATTATTCTCAAAATTTCAGATTTTTAGGTTCAATATACCCAAAGTTATGGGTAAGAATGTATGGGTATGTCGTATTTTAGAGTTATGTCAATTTTGAATATTTTGTGTGATTTTCTGATTTTTTCAGAACTTTTTTCATAATTTCTGATTTAATTCTGATTTTTTAGAGTTTTTCAGGTTCTCCCAGTCAATCAAAATTCTGATTTTCAAAAATTTATAATTACCGGCAATTAAATAGTTTTGCACCCCCACACTGTTCGGTCTCCTCTGCCGTCCCCAACCTATTATTTTTGCACAGTGGTCGTATACATGTTGTTCCCCTGGTTGTAAATCAAAGTTGTAGACACCTGAGAATATTTTTAAAATTATTTTAAATTTTTTTAAATTTTTTAATTAAATAGACCATCGTGGTAGTGCATAAAGCTCTCAAAAACGCTAAAGCAAAGCATCACCTTAATATTTTTAAAAAATTTTTATTCATAATTTTATTTATCTTTTAATCTTATCTTAACTTAGATTAATTTAGTAATTTTTACTAGCTACTTTTTTAAAAAAAAATTTTTTAATTTTGACGCCAATATTTTTCTGCGCCGAAATGTCTCGTAAAATTAAGGAAAGTAGCGACAGCTGCTTTTTTCGGCGCAGATTAAATTTGGCGGCAAATAAAAAAAAATAATTTTTTCGAAAAATAGTCTTAAATTCGAACCCATCTTTAAATTTGAATTTTTAAAATTCAAAATAAACATTTTAAAAAACAAAAAATTATTATCCTTACAGGTCCATGTGTCATTATTTCTCGTTTAAGCAATTCAACAATTCCTCCTATTCTCCCATTAAATTCCCCCGTTTCATTCATTTTTAGTCTGCTAGTTAAAGACTTAGGGAACTGATTAACAGAGTCGTCTTCTTCCAAACTTCCAATTTTGTAGACATATTTGGCTGAAAATTTGGGGGAAAAATTTTTTAACGGAGAGAAAGTTAATTAGGTGGAAGATGCTTGACTACCCCACTATTTTTTGCTATAACTCTCGAATAAATCAAGCTAGAAATCTAATTATGAGTAGTACATATCAGGGGTGTGCGAGTTTCGCCTTTCGTCTTTTGCCGTTAGTTTTTAACACAGTTTCGGCACACCCCTAGTAAATACGTTCTAGAGATTTAATAGGAATGTCGACGAAACTCGCGACGAATCTAGAAAAATAGTAATGAGCACGCTGTCTCGAGTATGTTCCGGAGTAAATACTCATACTAGTACGCCTTTCATCCTGATAGAAAGGCTTAGGGATTGTAATGTTAAGGGGTCAGCGCTAACCCCGTTCAAAAATTTTTTTGTATAATTTATAATCAAAGTGCCAAATAGTCTATTTCATTTATTACAGAGTTTTTTTAAATATTATATATTAAGTAAAACAATTTTTCTATTCAAAAGAAAATCAACTACCTTTATAATTTGTAGCTTGTAAATATTCATCAGCACACTTAGTTTTGCCCAAAGAACATGAGCCTAAGCCACGGGGATTTTGAAATTCGGTAGGTGGACAAGGGGCTCCACAATCTCTGGCTATTGTATAAGGGAAGCAACGATCATTAACTAATCCTTCCAAATGCCAATAGAGAAAGGGGAAGAAGGAATTTGGGGCTCCTGTACAGCTGAAAAATTAAATTATGTTTTAATATCTCATAGTCTTAAATTTTGCCGTTGGTACAGTAAAGAACCATTTATGCATTATTTATGTTCCCTAGCTATGTTCCATACGTACCATCCGTTCAGAGATGTATGTTCCACTCGGACGAGTATGTTCCCTTCACAAGGACGGATGTACCTTCGGAGGGTGTGTTCCCTTATGAGATGTATATTTCCTTCGTAGAAGCATGTTACTTTCACAAGGGGTATGTTCCGTTCGAAGGTGTATGTTCCCTTTATAGCAGGTATGTTCTCTTCGGAGGGGTATGTTCTCTTCACAAAGTCTACACGGGAGTATATTCCATTTAGAAGCAATGTTCCCCAAACAAAAAATTCGCTAACCCTCCACAATAATCACAGCATTCTACTAATTGTTGCGCCGAAATGCCACTTCTTTCCCTCCCTTCAGACGCAATACAAATTCTATCAGAAATTACAGATATGGCAGCAACCGCCTTTAAATTTCAAAATGAACCAGAAAATTTCCCATAGTTTACCCAACAAGACCCGCAACCGCCTTGGTCTCTAACTCGAAGTATTGACTGCGCGCAATCGCCCCATCTTTGGGCAGCGTTGAAACGTTCGGGGATGGGTCTTAATTGTTGCTCGAAGTTTGTTAGGTGCTCAGTATAGTGTTGCTTGAAGACCTGTATTTTTTGGTAATAAAACACATAAAATACAAAATACCGTATCCAAATAGTCTTCAAGAGATTTTAGCCTTGAAGGATCCATCATGTATGTAGAATTGAGAGGATCAAAGCTATCAGTAAAATTGATCATCTCATTTAATGATTTGATACTGAAACATAATTTTGTGATTTTTAGAGAGGTATGTTCCCTTCGGAAGGGTATGTTCCTTTCGGACGGGTATTGCAAAGTTTTGGTTCCCTTCGGAGGGTATGTTTCCTTCGGAGGGTATGTTCCTTTCGGAGGGGTATGTTCCTTTCGGACGGGTATTGCAAAGTTTTGGTTCCCTTCGGAGGGGTATGTTCACTTTGGATGGGTATGTTCCCTTCGCAATGGTATGTTCCACTCGAAGGGGTATGTTCCCTTCGGAGGGGTATGTTCCCTTCGGAGGGGTATGTTCCCTTCGGAGGGGTATGTTCCCTTCGGAGGGGTTTGTTCCCTTCGGAGGAGTTATGTAACTTACCCAATAGTATATTTATTCAATCTTGCACTCCATGTCGAATTCGGATTCATATTAACATTTTGTACAATTAATTGAGCTCTTTCTAATTCATTATTAGCCTTCCATAATCTCTTAAATCCTCTCCAATTTGACAAAACACTTGTTTTGTTGGTTGAGGATGGGCGATTTGTTGCAGATGACTCTTTAAAAGACGGTGAAATTGCGAGTCTTTTCGATGATTTCTTTAAAAATAATTTTTTAACTAAGTTAAGGGCCTTAGATATTTTAGAAAATATTTTTTGGAAAATTTATTCCAATTATAAGACCTTAATTAGTTTATTAAAAAATATTATTTTTATAATGCGCCATAATTTTACGCGCCGAAATGACACCTATATTTTCCCTTAAAAATACTGCAATTAAACAGCCTGAAGTGACTATTTCGGCGCAGAAGGGTTTCGGCGTCAATTAATTTTTTAACTATTTGAGTAAAGTCAATTTTTAATTTTTACGAAATTTCGCAATTTAACGGTCACGAAATTTCGTAATTTAAAAATAAAAAAATTCAAAAAATTTAAAATTTTTAATTCAACTTGCCTGTTCTCCTCCAATTAACACTTCTCCCTCTCCACTGCCTCCAAATAATTTATAAAAAATTAATCCAAACAATAAAACAAAAATAACAAAGGAGCACAAGGCCCCAACACTCAAAAATAAATTTTTGGCAGAATTCATAAAAAATTTCCGTTCCAAACGTGTTGGGGTTGAACTAACAATTGCTGGGCTAGCATTGTGGCTATCTCTGCTGCAATTGGAGAACTTCAGCTTGCTTTGAGTTTAAAGGGGGGTTTAAGGGGAAATTATTTTTATATCTAGAAAAGTGTTATTCATGATTTGGAAAGGTTTGGGAATTTTTAAATGAAATTTGCCTTTTAATGTTTTTGGTCATGATTCACGAGGGCTTACTAAACTATAACTGTTGTGTTTTGGTGAAGGAAACTTTCTAACGAGAGATGCTAGCTTGAGTTACTAATCTCCCTATAGTAAATATCGCTATATGATACCCCCTCCACCCCCCAAGGATTGAAAATTTGTCTCTTATAATGAGTGTATTTTAAATAGAAAGGCATCAACTCCCCCATCTAGTCCCCAATTAATTTTTAAAAAATCGTACCCTAACTAGAGGTGTGTCTAAAATTGAGGGACATTAAGATGAGGTTTGCATGTATTTTTATTTCGTTAATAATATTTCGAAACTTCGAGAACATTTCGAAATTTCGTCTATTTTTGCTTAGCTAATCTCTAAAAACAATTTAAAGCTCTTTAAGCTTAAAAATCAGCAAAAATGATGAATAACTTTGATTTAAAGTAGGCTTATTATTTTACTTTTACCGATCATTTTACCTTTGACATGCCCTGACAGCTTAAAAATATTATCTAAAAAGCCCAAGTCACTCAATCAATGCTTTAAATCCCTCATTTTTATGTTTTAAAGGGCAAAAGGGTTTGATGGATGGAGTGAAATACGAAACCGTGTTCTAATATATACTTTATATTGAGCAAAATAATAAGAAAACTTAGGAAAAATTTTTTTGAAAATTTTAGTAAGGCTGGAAAATCGGAATAAATTATCAGGGTAACCCTGCTCTTTTCAACATAACTTTTGATGAGATGGTGGGATCGCTTAGGTCTCTTCAGCTAAATGAATCCTCATAATGTGAGCTTTCGAAAGATATATAGATTACCTCAGAATGTCAAGAAATAAAAAAGTTCTAAACAAAAATTGAATCATTGTCAGCTCTTATCAAGGTAGCTCTGCTCTTATGAGTATAACCTTTTATAGAATTAAGAGATCGGTCCAGTCTCTTTTATAAAAATAATCAGCAAATCGAGAGCTTTCGATTGATATAAGATTCATTCATAAAGGTCATAAAATAAAAAAGTTATGAACCAAAAACTAATCAAAGTCTGCATCTTTGAGAGAATACAATCAAGAAATTTGAGCAGAACTTTTAGTAAAATGCTCAAATCTCTAATTTTTTAAAATCAAATAATCCTCACATCGAGAGCTTTCGATTGATATATCACTCGCTCCGAAAGCTTCAGAAATAAAAAAGTTGCGCTTAAAAAACAAACTACAAGAAAAACGCCGTTTATTTAAATTTTCAAATTTCCGCCTTTTTTGTAGCTGTCTAAACTTTTATTTGTCGTGTCCGGACAAAATATCGAATCGTTAAAATATGGAATAGGCTAAAAAAGGGTTAAAATCTCGAATCGGGTAAAAAGGGGTTAAAATCGCGAATAGGCTAAAAAGGGGTTAAAATATGGAATCGTTAAAATATGGAATGGTTAAAATATCGAATAGGCTAAAAAAGGGTTAAAATATGGAATCGTTAAAATATGGAATGGTAAAAATGTCGACACGGCCAAAATTGGTCAAAATGTCGAATTTTTTAAAAATGGCGCCAAAACTAGAATCCGGACGGTACCGTAATACCGATGGTATTTTTCGGTATTCCGTGTCGGTTGTACGGTACGGAATGCCTTCCGATAAAATTTAAAAGCTGATCGGTGTTTTTCGGTATTCCATACCGTATACGGTAAGGTCAAACTTTAGGTCTTAACTAAAAACTAATGCACACCACTATAATTTTTCCATATCAGGATCGCGTTATGTTTTCCGGATCCGTACGATCATGCCGGACCGGATCCGGTGTCGATTATGCTTAATTTATCCGGTCCGGTTTTACTCCGTAAAATACACTGAACTCGGGCAGAAAAGATTGCGCCGGACTACGACATAAGAGACTTATCAATCAACTTATCATCAATAAGTTGATAAGTTGATAAAATTATCAATAATCAATGTATGGCACTCATCTGACCCTTTTTTAAAAGAATTCGACATTTTGACCGATTTTGGCCGTGTCGACATTTTTACCATTCCATATTTTAACGATTCCATATTTTAACCCTTTTTTACCCGATTCGATATTTTAACGTTTCCATATTTTAACGATTCGGTATTTTAACCCCTTTTTAGCCTTTTCGCGATTTTAACCATTCCATATTTTAACGATTCCATATTTTGTACCGGAGCCTTATTTGTTTATCTCTCTAACACTCTCTTATTTATTAATACACTCTCAATTTTCTTTCTATCTTTTCCTTTTTCGTATCCCCTCAAAATCTCTATTCCTTAAAATCTCTACTGGGCTAAAATGCCTTATAATCTCTACACAGCTAAAATGCACTAAAATCTCTACTCGGCTAAAAATGATTAAAATAACTATTCCTTAAAATCTCTATTCCTCATAATCTCTACACGGGAAAAATGCCTTAAAATCTCTACACTGCCAAATATAGGATAAAATGTCTATTTTTCATTGAAGCCTTTTGAGTACCAACGTTAAGTGCGGAAACATTGTTCTGATTTCTGGATTATCTTTTGATATTATTTTGCTTGTATAGTTTTTGCCGGTGCGGATGAACCCAGCCAGGCATGTCTAGCGGGACGACAGCAGCCGCTTCGATACGATCAACGCAAGGAAAATGAACACGACCGCAGCGAAGCAGTCGTGTCTTATATTTTCGATATTTAAGGCGGATACAGGCGGATATGGCAGCCATTTTAAACCAATTGTATCCATATCCATTAACAAGTCTGGTTTTTCCAGCGAAAGATTCAGATGGTACTTTTGTTGAGACTCAACCGTCAATTTGCGCGGTGTAGAGATTTTAATTATTTTTACCCCAGTAGAGATTTTAAGGAATAATTATTTTAAGGAATAGAGATTTTAAGCATTTTTAGCCCAGTAGAGATTTTAAGGAATAGCGATTTTAAGGAATAGAGATTTTGTATGGGAGCCTTCCTTTTTTCATCATTTTCTCTCGTCTTTTTCCTTTCGTATTTACATTGGCCCTTATTTTGCCAATAGACATTTTGCCAGCTAGGCTAAAAATTCGCATTTTGTCAACAAGACCGTTGACAAAATGCGTTATTTTACTCTTATTGGCAAAATGTCGTATTGGTGAAATATGAGCACATTGTTATCTCTTTATTATTTAATTTTTTTGCAGTTTTTTGGTTGTTTTTAGGCTTTTTTCTTCAATTTTTTCAGTTTTTTTAGTCAATTTTTACATTTTTGCATTTATAATGATGTTTAATCGTCTTCAACTTGCCTCACGTTCTTTCGCTACTGCTTCAACTATCAAAAATGTTACAATTATAGGGAGTGGTCTTATGGGATCGGGAATTGCTCAGGTTTTTTAAACTTTATTGGAGGTCTGAAGTGTTTTCATCAATTTATTGACCCTGTTAGTAGTCTAGGCCTTGGGATATTGCGGGCAGGGGAAAAAGTCGGATCGAGTTTTCTAAGATTGCTGGGATCAGGTATCGGATTTTGGATCTAAAAATTGTTGAAGTTTCGGGTGTTGGATTTTGGATAATTCTCAAATATCCCTAGTTTAGACCCTTGGGATAAGAGGGTTTTCAACTTTTTCCGTTCCTAACCCAGAAATTTTTTAATTCCAGGTCAGCGCTCAGGCAAACATGAACGTTACTTTAGTTGACCAAACTCAAGCAATATTGGACAAATCTATTAAAGGGATAGAATCTAGTGTAAAAAGGGTTGCCAAAAAGCAGTATGAAAGTGACGAGAAGGTTGGGGAATTTTTCTTTTAAAAATTGGAAAATTTATTGGCACTAGTCTAGTTTATGAGTCCAATAAGGCTTTACGAGTCCCTTAAAAGATCAGAAGTCCAAACATTGGACCATTAGAATTGTTGGAGTCTCGGCTGCCAAAAATCTGTATTGGGGGATTTTTTCGCCTTCATTGGACTTATAAACTAAATTAAAACCCATTTATTTTAGCAACAAAAAAATTTGATTGACAAAGTTTTAAAAAATATTGCGGTGTCGACAAATGTTGCCGAAGCTGTTTCTAAGGCTGATTTAGTTATTGAAGCTATTGTGGAAAATGTTGAAGTTAAACAAAATTTGCTTGATAGAGTTGAGAATGCTGTTAAGAGGTTTTTTGTTTTTTAGGGGAAATTTTGGGTGATTTTGGAGGCTTTTTTCCTCATTCCTTATTTTCCTTTGGTCTTGATTGACTCAAATTTAAACATATATGACTCTTGAACTCCCTTGTGGAATACGAAAAAAATAAGAGGGCACCAAAAGGTTCGAACCATCGACCATTAAAAGTTAAAACCTAAAACTGGACCACTTAACCAAAAATTTAATTTTTTCGTATTCTGTGCTTTTTCAACAGCAATTCTCATGGGACCACTACGGATTTAGTTACCAGAGGCAAAACTAAAGAAGAAATGAAAATGGGGCCACTAACTTTCAAAATTCCCCTTTTTTAAATTTTTTTAAAATTTTAAGTGGAACAATATTAGCGACAAACACTTCTTCTCTAAAGTTGGCAGATATTGCAGCAAATTTGAAACACAAGGAACTTTTTGGTGGACTTCACTTTTTTAATCCTGTTCCTGTTATGAAACTGCTTGAGGTTTTAACATTTTTGGTTAAGTGGATCCGGTCCAGGTTTTGACTTTTAATGGTCGATGGTTCGAACCCTTTTGATGCCCCCACTATTTTTCTTTGATTTTTTGTATTTGCTGTTGTCTTAACTACCCAGAACCTGCCAGAAAATTCTTCAAAAAAATTTTTTAAGGTTGTAAAATTTGACCAAACTAGTGAAGACACATTTCAACGCCTCATGAAATTTGGAAAAGACATTGGAAAAGTCACTGTTGTTTGCAAGGTTTTTTTTTTTAAATTTTTCATGAAGAATCGGAAAAAAAATTTTTAGGACACTCCCGGATTTATTGTCAACCGCCTTCTTGTCCCGTACATGTTGGAAGCAATTCGAATGTTTGATAGAGGAGACGCTAGCAAAGAGGATATCGATTTGGCAATGAAGTTGGGGGCTGGTTATCCTATGGGACCGTTTCAATTGTCTGATTATGTTGGGTTGGATACAACACAATTTATTGTTAAAGGTTTATTTGTTTTTAAAAATCCGCAAGATTTTTTGCGGACAATTTTTTTGTCCGCAAAAATCTTGCGGACAAAAAAATGTCCGCAGGATTTTAGCGGATTTTTTGTCCTCAAATTCTGTTTTAATTCAATTTTATTTTGTATAGGATGGCATGAAAAGTACCCAAATGAACCTTTATTCCTACCCATTGCAACATTGGACAAGCTTGTAGCTGAAGGCAAGTTGGGTGTTAAGAGTGGAGAAGGTTTTTACAAATACAGCAAGAAATAAGGTATTTGACAAAATACCTTATTTAATACCTTATTTGAAAATACCTTATTTAAAAACCACAAAATACCTTATTTAAAACCCATTCCTAGCCAAAAAAATTCTTTCAAACTTTTTAGAAAATTTTTTATGATTTTTGGTTAAGTGGTTCCGATCCAGGTTTTTATAAAATATTGGTCGATGGTTCGAACACTTTTGGTGCCCCATTTATTTTTTTGTTAATTTTAAAGCTATGAATGTGTTTTATTAGTAAATTAATCGATTGTTCATTTTATTTTTTAAAGTTCAATTATTTATTGCCTTATAAATAAACAAAATCCTTTTGGGACGAAAATTTTTTTGTCCGCAAATTTTTTGCGGACTAAAATTAATTTAATAAAACAAGACAATTATTAATAAATAAATAACAGTTCAACGTTTATTCTAGGGAGATCCGAAAAAAATTTTAAAATAAATAGGAAGGCCATCTAATTTATTTTAGGCAACAAAAACATATATGGCAAAATTTTAAATAAAAAAATGGCTTATTTAACAGACTTATTGGTACTATGATAAGGGGAGTTAGCACAGATTTTTCCTAATTTTTGGCATTTTTTAAAGTTGTCCGCAAATTTTTTGCGGACTTTTAATTTTGTCCGCAAATTTTTTGCGGACTTTTTTTCCTTGTAGGTATTTAACAACCCCTTATTTCTGTATGGGAGGATTAGTGGAATCAAATTTCTAAAACAGCCAATAAAATTTTTAAAAAAAATTTGCCATAAAATTAAAATTTAAAAAGACTTCTTAAATTAAAATTCAAAAAAATTGAAAAAAAATTTCATGAGAAAATATAAAAATAAATAAAATTAAAATAATTTAGCTATAAGTATACTTATGTTAAAACAAAAAAAACCTGTGTTTGTAAAATTAAAACAAGAAAGAAAAATAATTTTTTAAGTCTCCACACTATCCTTCCTCTCTCTTCTTTCCTTCTCTCTCATAATTTAATAAAATTTGTACAGGGTGCGGCAAATTAAGCGCGCGTTTGTTTTTTGCCATAACTTTCTTCAATTTTAATGAAAATTGATAATTCTTTTTTTGTTTTATTCCCAACACTTTAGGAAACTTGCTGATATCAAATATTAAAAATTTGGTTCACTGTTGGCAAAGATAATCGAGTTCGATCGTCTGGAAAATTTAAAAACATTTTTTATGCCAAAGTTTAATTAATCATAACTTCGTTCAAAATCGTTCAATACCAATGATTTTGGTACTAAACGACTCATCTCGTTCAGGAGCATCGAAATAGCTTATAATCTCATTTTTGAAAATTTTACACAAAAATTTTATTTTTATCAAAATTATTTTAATTTATCATTCAGAGGACCGTATCTCATTCGATTTTTGTCTTAGCCCCATGATTTTTATGTCATTCGAATCAGAATGAAGAGCTGATTCGAATGATATAAACATTTCCAATATTAAAATCTCAGCCTTGAATCTAGGCCAATTTTTATCAAAAAATTCTGCTCAAACTTTGAGGGAAGTTTACTCAGAGTAAACTTAAAATTAAAAAGCAATTTTGGTATCAGCAAGTTTCCTAAAGTGTTGGGAATAAAACAAAAAAAGAATTATCAATTTTCATTAAAATTGAAGAAAGTTATGGCAAAAAACAAACGCGCGCTTAATTTGCCGCACCCTGTACTATTATTACCATGTTCACCAAAATATTTATTTGCATATTCTAAAATTGAAAAATCTGAAAGTATGTCTTGTTGTGGAGGTTGTGGAAGAGGTTGCCGTTGTTGTTGTTGTGATATTTGGTGTGGAAAAGTACAAGAAAAGTTGTTGTTTTCAACAAGTGATTCTGATACATCAAAGCTGGGAAGTATTATTGGCTCGTAATTTGGTTGTTGAAATGTAGTAATTGAGGATTCTGAATGTTTTTAATTTCTGATAATTTTGATAAATTTTTTAAAATTTATTTGGGATTTAAGAAAAAAAAATTTTATTTTTTAATTGTTGGTTAAGTGGTTTCGATCCATGTTTTGGTTGTTGGGGCTTATAATAGTCGATGGTTTGGACCCTTTTGGTATTTTTTATAATTTTACAAATCATTTTTCTTTTCGTTTATTTTAATACATAACCCTTTCCTAGCTTTAAATTTAAAAAATTAAATTGGAGACCAAAAGGGTTCGAACCATCGACCATTTTAAGAGAAAAACTGCAACGGAACCACTTAACCAGAAAATTATTTTTTCAACCCCCAAAAAATTAAAAAAATAAAACCTTCATTCTCTTCAACATTTCTCTCATCCTTCCCTTCTTGATGTATAAAAAGAGAACAGAACTCTTCAGGTGTCAATCCAATTTTACCAAAATCCAAGGCTTTAAAAAGAAATTCTTCATCATCCGAGTCATTATTTAAAGTAAATGAATTATTTTCATTTTCCCAAAACGGGCCATGTTCACTTGAATTTTCCATATAAGTTACCCACATATTTATTAGATTGCCAGGAAGTCCTAAAAATTAAATTTAAAAAATGCGGACATATTTTGCGGATTTTTTAAGAGTCCGCAAAAATTTTTGCGGACTTTCTGCAAATCCGCAAAAATTTTTGCGGATTTTTCTAAATGCCTGCAAAAATTTAAAAAAAGTAAAAAAATTTACTGTTTTCATAGATAAAACGTTCATTCAGCAAAATTCGAGCAAAAGGAGTATCTAAAACTCGCAATCCTCCAGATTTGCGGGCTATGCCCTTGTAGACGTACAAATTATTTAGGGAGATGTCACAGCTGATTAAAACCTAAAAATGACAAAATAAAATTTTATAAAAGAAAAAAATTTTTTAAAGACATTTGGTCTAGTTAAAGACATTTGGTCTACACCTAGTAAAACATGCTGGCATTTCTTTGTCGAATTTTTTAAAATCCGCAAATTTTTTGCGGACAAAACTTTTTTATATTTTTACAGAAAAAAATATTTCCGCAAAAATTATTAATCAATTTATTTGTTTTCGTTAAAATAAATCCCATGTTAATTTTCAACTAAACAGAAAAATCGTAAGGGACCCTTCCCTCCATTCATACCTAAAAAGCCAAAAAAAAATTTTAAAATTGAAAAAGAAAACCTGAAGTTTCCCGTCTTTACAAATTCTAGTTTTTGGATATTTTTGTCCATCAGCTTTTTCAAATTTAGGTAAACACATTTTGCTAAATATTAGCGATTTATTTGCTACATTAGCGAATGTTGCTGTTATCCAATTGCCAATATTACATAAAGTGTCATATTGTTGTAAACTGAAGAAAAAAAAATTTTTTTTAGTCGAATACCCCCAAAACGCGAGTTAAGAATCATTTTTAAAAATATGGATATCGGAAAAAAGTACGGATATGTCCGCAAAAAGTGTCCGCAATTTCCCCTAGATATTGGAAAAATTTGCGGACAATTTTTTTGCGGACAAAAATTGCGGACATTTTTACTTCATTATAAGGCATGGAGTTTTTTAACCTCAAGGGGTTATCTAATGAAAAGGTCCAACCATATTAATAAAATTTAAAAAAAACCTTGGAAATAAATTAGCAATTACAATAGCTAATCCAATATCAGAAGCATAAATAACTGCATAATGCAATGTTCTTTGAACTATTATTCCTGTAGCACGCTGAAATTTAAAAAAATTTATTTTGACATTTTGAAGTGTCCAGAATATTTTGGATAGATATTTTAAAATATTAACGTTTTAAATTGGGCATTTTTCAAGGACGTTCCAGGGGGTCGGTTTCGGGGTGCTAACAATGGGGGTGCGCTTGGTGATCCGCGCAAATTTTTTGTACCTATATTCTAATTTTTTAGCGACACAGGCGGAAATTTTTAAATTTTGGAGTTCAGGAAGACAGATTTCTTCCATTTTTTGCGCCCACTGGATACGCCCTTGCCATTTTTAATTTTTTGGACATTTTGAAATCTGACCATTTCACAATTTATAAAAAATTTAAACAAACCACTCGATCATGTTTCGAAACCATAGGTGCATAACTTCTCAACTCCTGTTCAATCATCAAATGTCGTTCCTTCAAGTAATCACAATAACCACCCCCTTCCTTCTCCCGAAGATCATCAATTTCAATTAATTTGGGTGTTTGTCTTGGAGGAGGGGAAGAAGATTTTTTATTTGTAATTTCCTCTTCCTCCTCTATTCCCTCATTATTTTCTGTCTCGATATGAATTTCCTCCTCGTCATATTCATCCCACAATAATAAATTTGAATTTTCATTATTTGTATTATGATTGGTATTATTGTTTGTAAATGGTGATATGCTTGAAGATGGAAGTGTTGAATTTATTGAAAAATCACACAATCCTGTTGAGATGGAATGGATACGATGAGATCTCTAAAAAATAACAAAAATATTGTTTTTTTGTCCGCAAAATTTGTCCGCAAAATTTTTGCGGACAAATTTTGAAGACAAAATTAGCATTTTCTCTAGCCCAATACCAGAATTTCAGAGAAGGTTAAAAGGACTAAATCGTGTCTTATGAGGTTCTACATTTAATTTTGAAATATTTTGGGGGCTTTAACCCTTTGGAATATTTTTGGGATTTTGACATTTTGAGATATTTTGGGAGGTGTTGACAATTCGAAATTTTTCTGGTTAATTGACATTAGAGGTCGGCACGGAACAGGTTCCCGTACGGGATTTTACAGGATCCTGTCCCAAAATCCCGTATTTTAAGCGACGAACGGGATTATCGGGATTTTATGGGATTAATCCCGCGGGATCCTGTCCCGTAAAAATTTTGAAAAAAAATCACGTTACGGGATCCCGGGAATTCCGATTTTTCCACACTTTAATTTTGGAATATTTCTGGTTAAATGCCATTTTGGAATACCTTCATTGAAAATTTTCTCAATATTTTTTTAAATATAAACCTTTCGGGTACTCATATTTCCTTCATTGAAAGACGAACATTTAGCTTGTTCAACTTCTTGATCATTTTCTGAAGATCCCGCATTATTTTCTTCCTCAAAATATTTTTCTTTAGAAGCAGATTCCTTTGAATTTTCCATAGTTTCTTCAACTATTGGTTTTGTAATTAACGGCTTTTCAAGCTTTAAAAAAAATTTTTTCAAAAAAAATTTTCTTCTGAAAAAACCTCAGCCCAATCACTATCAACATTTGGTTTAATTGCTAAAGCTATCCAACGACATAAATCGGGATATTCTTTTGTGAAGGTAACATAAGCCTTCAGAAAAAATTTTTTTATTAAAAAAAAGTTTTCCCAGCAAACCGTCACATAATCTGCCCAGCCTAAATCCAATCTTTGTACTAATCTCAAATCTTTTACGCATAAAACAATTCCCAAAAAAGGTTCATTTACAAGCATTAAGTCATCTCCAACATAACGAACAGGTCCATAAATTTGACATTCCATCTGTTTTAAAGAAAAAAAATTTTTTTGCGCATTGTCCGCAAAAAGTTGCGGACAAATTTTGCGGAAAAATTTTAAAAAAGTAGTGAAGTCCGCAAATTTTTTTGCAGACAAATCTGTGCAGAAAAAATTTTCAGAAAATTTGTCCGCAACTTTTTTGCGGACTAAATTTTAGTCCGCAACTTTTTAAGCGGACAAAGTTTTGCGGAAAAAGTTTTTGTCCGCAAATTTTTTTGCGAACTAATATTCTGACAAATCATCCCACACTTACCCTAATAGTATTTTCCGATTTACGAAAAATCACTTGACGATCAACATCCGAAGTGAAAATGTCATAGGCAGTATAACGACAACGATTGACATGAGCACCTTGTTGCTGTTGTGAAGTACTTGTGTCATCGAGAAAGGCACGATAATTTACCCATGTTGAAATTGGCCACTAAAATTTTAAAAATATAAAAAATTATTTGCGGACAAAAATTAAAGATTTCGTCCGCAAGATTTTTTGCGGACAAAAAAATTTGCTGCTAGCTCACTATCAGAAATACCGATTCCAGGAAAAAATCAGAAACCAGAATTTTTGAATCCAAAAAACGTCAGAATTTCTGACTAGGAAAAATCAGAATTTCCCCCGATAACCTTGGCCTTATTATCCATCATTTAATAAATAAAAATTAAAAAATCCCGACCCTTTTATCCAATCCAATTAAAGGCAATCCTGGAGCTCTAACCAAATCATGAGTTTTATTCCATAAAATTAAACCAAAATTGTCTGCTTCAACAACTAATCCAGTATAAATTTTCATCATATCCTCTTCATCTTCCACCAAATTCTGAGGGCGAGCCTTTTCCTTCACCTTCAAATTTTCCTCATCTCTAGTTAAGTCAACAACTTCTTTCGTTATTGGATTTTTTAAAATTGTTGTTGTTTCAAAATTATTTTTTTGTTTTGGTTCCTCTGGAATTGTAGTAGCAGCAGAATTTTCATTGTTGTCAAAAATTTTTTTGTTGTTTGAATTAATTATTTGGCAGTCATTATCGTCATCATCATCATCAAGTCGAAAAATATTTTTCTTATTACTAGTTGGAGGTTCCTTAAAAATATATTTTTATTTATAGAAATTAATTTTGTTAAAATATTTCAAACCTCATTTTAAATAATTTTTTGCGGAAATAATTTTAAGAGAAAATTTGTCCGCAAATTATTTGCGGACAAAAAAATTTTTGCAGATAATCCCCAAAATATTTGCGGACAAAAATAGCATTCTTTCTAGCTCAACTCCAGAATTTTCAAGAAAGGTTAAATTACGGTTAAATCGTCTTTGCGGACTAAATTTTAAGAGAAAATTTGTCCGTAAAATTCTTGCGGACAAATTTTGCGGACAAAAATTAGCATTTTTTCTAGCCCAACACCAGACTTTCCGAGAAGGCTAAATCAGGGTTCAACATGTCTTATGAGGTTTCACTGCATTTAATTTAAAAAAGAACCTTTTGTTTGATAGGAGCATCTTCCTCATCATTTGAACCTTCATCAAACAAATTTAAGGTTGAATGAACCATCTAAAAAATTTTTAAAAATAAAAATAATTCCAATATAAAAATAAACCTTTGGGATAGTTTTTTCAGCACTTATTGAAGAATTTTTTCGACTGTGTTCTATACCCATAATTTTTGTCCAAGGCTAAAAAAAGATTTGAAATAAATTTTTTTTAAAGTTTTGCTGGTTTAAATGTTCTTTCCTATTTTTTAAAAATAAAAATTCTGACTTGAATACTATTTGAAAACCCCAGAAATAATATTAGGAAAATCACAATTTTTGATTCAAAGTAACCAAAAATCTGCTGATTTTTTCCGAGTTATGATTTTGAGAAATCAGAGATCTTTAGGGTTTACTAGTTGGAGGGCATATCTCTTGGGCGTTGACTTCCAATGTTTAAGACCCAAGTGTGGGGCTGGATAATTTTTGATAATTTCTGATAATTTATGATTTTTTCGTTGTTCTGATACAGAAAACCCAAAATTCTGATTTTTCTGATCATAAAAATTAGAATTTCTGATTTCCAGAATTTCGTCTTTCACAAATTCTGAAATTTCAAAAGACCCCAAAATTTCCAGATTTCTCAGAAATTAAAATAATTCCCAAAAATGCTTACCGCTTTGCTTAACAATTCCCGAGCCTTTTCTATATCAAAAATTTTTGTAAATTTATTAACAGTACAAAAAGGAGTTCCAAGTTTAGGTATCCACTCATCGAGCTCAGGAGGAATTCTTTTAAAAAAATTTTTTTAATAAATTAATTTCAAACAAAAAACCTAGTAACATAAGTTTGGTAAACATCCCCAGCTTGAAGATGTGCATTTGGAGGAGCAAAACAGGCAACATAACAAAATTCATCAGAAAATCCCAAAGCTGTGCAACGCTTAAGAAAAAAATTATTTTCCGAAAATGAAATTCTTTTTCGTTCAAGTTCCCAAAGTCCGTAAAATTTTATCCGCAAGTCATATTTACTTAGTTTAGCAAGCTGAAAAATTGTTTGGAATAAGGACAAAAGTGTTAGGAGGTGGTTATTTTTTTTGTTTGTTTATTTGACTTCAAATTGTTTTTTATTTTTGACTGACACTCTCGGTGGTGTAAATAAATAAATTTAAAAATATTAAGTGAGAAATACGACTTGCGGACGAAAATAAAACTTGCGGATTCTGAAAATATTGGCGAAAAATAAAAAATGAAAAAACTTTGAACGCCTAAAGGAAAAATAAAAAAATCAAAAACAAAGAAAAGTCCTAAAATTAAAAAAGTAACGAAACGGTCACTTTGTCAACATCGATACGCCAAATTTTTTAAAGAAATAGACGGTTAAAGTGACGGCCAATTAAATTGACCATAAAATCCTAATTAATAATTAAACCAAAAAAGTTTTACCGGAACTTGTTCTTGTATATTCTTGAGTACATCAAACTCTTTTGGAGCAAAAGTAATTAGGCATTCTGCCTAAAATTGAATTAAAAAAATTTTATTTAATCATAAAAATTTAAAAAAACCTTCCAAACACGATTACTTGGTAAAACATTTAATTGTCTATTTGCCCTTTCACATCGTGTAGCGTCCAAAGTTAAAGAATTTTCATTTGGCAAAGTAAAATGGATTAGTTCGCCATGCTAGAAAGAAAAAATTGGAGTTAAAATTTAACTGTAAGATAGAGGATCTAATTTTTAAGCAAATAATTAGGGACATAAAAAGGAAGGAAAAAGTCGGAAACTGTGAAGCCACATAATTTTACGAAATGGGGGTCAGGGCCAAAAAAGAAAAAATTGGCAATAGGCTATCGACCATGCTCTACACGATGAAATAATTTTTATTTGAAAATTTTTGGTCATAGTTCTCGATGGTTCCTTGGAAGTAATGGCTAATTCCTCTATTGCTTAAAAATCCCAACTTGCGGACAAAAAGTTGCGGATTTTACTAGAAAAAGGACCCTTTCTCTTATACTCTTACTATGGTAGGTTGCAAGGTGTCCGAGCTAAAAACGGTCGAGACCGGGCTCATACGATAGAGAATGTGCCCTTTCTAGCAAGGACTTTGCTAGCCTTTCTTGCCCGTTTTTTGATATGAAAGAGCCCGGTCTCGACCGTTTTTAACTCGACACCTCGCAGCCTTCCCTAGTTAAACCCTGACAATAGGATTTCCGTTCTTAACAGAAAATAAAATATTTATTTAAAATAAACCTTAAACTCCTTTTCTGGAACCTTTCTACATCTAAATTCTTTATATCCATGTCCCAATGCCCAAACATAAAAATGAGATTCATCAATACGTGTTACAATACCAACGCTCATTTCCTTTTTTCCAAGTAACTAAATGGCTTTAAAAAAATTAAAAAAAATTTTTTTAATTAAAAACAAATCAAAAAATAACAAAATTCATTCAAAAATGAATAGAAAAAATTTTTAAAATTCAAAAAAAATATTAAACTTTTTATTTTTTTTTGAGAAATGTGAGAGAGAAGTATAAGTAAAAAATTATGGGACACGCCGGCGCGCGGCCATAACGGCGCAGAGCCATAACTTGCATGGAAATTTTCTGGCCCTCATCAATTTTGGTACCAATCTCTTCGTCTCTATTAGAGGAATCGTTTAATACCAAATTTGGTAAGATTCGGAAATCATCAAGCAAGTTATGACCTTGCGCCATTATGGCCGCGCGCCTATTTGGGCTGTACCCTGAAAATATTATATTTTATATTTTTGTAAAATCGAAAAAAAACAAACAAAAAACAACAAAAAAAATTTTTGATGCAGTTTTTATAAATGTCAAAGACAATCTCTCAGAGAAAAAAATAATAATTAATATTTTGTGAAACCAAAAATATTAAAAGAAAAAATTTTTTATTAAAAGGAATGAAGCGAAAAATAAATTAAAAAATTTTTGGCAGAGCTGAAGGTCAGTTTAAAAAATTTTCTAGTCACGGACTCCTTTGGATTCAAGACGGGATGAGCCTGTGCCGTTAACTCTTCTCCCCTCCGTCTTCCCCTTTTCTATGCCTTTTTAATTTAATATATTTTTTCAAAAAAGCATTGCTTTGAAATTTTTTAATAAAAAACAAAAAAATAAATAACATATCCTTCCCAAACACACAAAAAATTTCAATGCAAAACATTTTGAAGTTCTTTTAAACGCAAATCAGGAGTGAAGGCAACAGAGCCCCAACGACTAGCTTCAATTGAAGTTGCCAATTCAGCACTCGAATTTATTAAAAGAGCATTGTGCTCTTCAGCAGATAAAGGCTCAACATCTGGAAAAATTTTAAAAAAAAATTTTATTTAAAAAAAATAAAAAAAAACCTTCATAATATTGTTGAATTTCTGGTTTAATAGGCATAATTAATTGAGGTTGAACATGAGCAATATTGTGTTGCTGTTGGTTGGGATATTGAATAGAACCCGCAGGCATTCCCATTTGAGGCATAACAGCACCAGGATTAAAAAGATTTTGTTGATGAAACTTGATAAAAAAATTTTTTTAGAAAACTTCGTTAATAAACTACAAGTTAAGGATTCATGGTTAAGTGGAAAATATAGGCATTATTGGGGTCACGGGTTCGAACCCGTTCAGGGTAAAATATTTTTTAATTAGATTTTTAAGCTAAAAAATCAATTACTAAATGAATAGATGATGATAAAAAAAATATTTCCCGCCTATGTAAGGATCTATGGTTAAGTGGAAATTCGAAAAATTAGGGGTAACGGGTTCGAACTCGTTCAGGGTAAAATATTTTTTGATTAAACAGAACCTGTTGTTGAATGAACGGATTCTGTTGAAAAGTATTCCCAACAAAGATAGGCTGTCCAGCAAATTGTTGTCCAGCAGGCATTCCACCAAAACCTGCCATTCCATGGTTTGGAGCTAATTGAGTTCCATAAGGTGTTGCCATTGAAAGTGGTGCACCTGCAGGCATAATTCCGACACCAAAAGGAGTGTTGGTGATCATTGGAATAGCTGCATTAGGAACTTAATGAAATTTTGGGAAATTAATTTTTAGAAATAAAATAGGGGAAAATAGGGCATTAATACCTAATTTTTTGTAGAATTAAAAAAACTTTGGGTGTCTTTCTGAATGAATTCATTTATGACATGAGGTCAAAATTCAAAACTGACATGTGTGTGTTCGAAAACCAATGTTTCATACAAAAATGTTTCTTAATATTTACCATAATCGGGTTCAAAATTTGAACCGTAGAAATGTTTATAGTTAGAATTCCCCCGAAACCATGAAGCAAATCAAAATCAAAAATAAATAATTCATTTATACACCAAAATAATTCCCAAATTTTTAAAAATAAAATACCAAAAAATCCAGGCGCCGGATAGGCAGGAGGAGCACCCATTAAGGACGCTGATCCATGCACACCTCGCGGAGCATAACGCCCAGTCCCTCGAGTTTTTGGCCGGGCCAATTTCAGAAACAATTCACGGCCAAAAAAGCTTTGCTTGTTCATTTCAACCTTTCAAAAAAATTTTTTTAGATTTTCAATCAAAATAAAAAATACCAAAGCTTTTTGTTGATCAGTCTCTGATGTGAATCGAACGAATCCTTGTTCTTTGGAATAGCCTTCTTCATTTCGATAGACTTTAGCACCCCGACAGGAACGATAGCGTTCGCCAAATAACTAAAAAAAACAAAATTTTTTGAGAATTTTCACACGTAGGGAATAGGGTGACCGCTTTTCCGACATATTTATTTGCTTGGTTAAGTGGAAATTCCAAATATTTTAGGGTCGTGGGTTCGAACCCGGTCAGAGAAAAATATTTTTTTACTACTCCTGAATTAAAAAGAAACAGTCTTATTCTAATTTTATGGTTCGCCTTTATTTATTTAATGCTAATCTTTTATAGCAAAGTAAAAAAGTAATACTAAAAGAAAACCCGGTATATAAAAAGAGACCGCAAAAAATAATCCTCAAAAAAATTCAATATGAGAAAACAAGTAAATCGGTATGTTAATTATTCTAGCTATAGAAAATACTTAAAAGACGATGGAGAAAGTCAAATAGAAAAATTTGAAACTATTGGTTGCTTTCGTAAATGATCCAAAAAAAGTCCGCAAGTTTTGTCCGCAAATCCAATATTTGATTAAAAAATGGGAAAAGAAACCAAAAGAAAAAAAACCGAAAGAAACCGAAGGGAAATCACCAAAAATAATTAAAAAATACCCTAAAAAGAGAAACATCATCAACATCTGGAGACAAATTGTTAACAAAAAGGTTGTACTCAACAGACCTTGAAATTAAATTTTTTAATGAAAAATTAGAAAAAAATACATTTGATGAGGAGAGTTGGCAAATGCAAGATTAAAACGTGCTCTACCAGACGGGTCATTTGGAAACTAAAAAAATACATAAATATTGCTTTAAAATTAAAAAGAAACCGGTTTCCCATTAACATCCAAAAGAGCATCACGAGCAGAATCTTCATTGGAAAATTCAACAAAACAATAAGTAGCTTTCTTAAAATTAGAAATAAATTCTCAACAAGGATTTATAGATTTATTGAGGAGAATTGTGTCGATGAAGCAGGGCTGACGAAATTGCGGATTGCAAGATGCGGAATGCGTAAATTTAGGGGTTTTTACAAATGCAAGTTGCGGCTGCGGAAAATTTTTTCCGATTGCGTGCAGCCCTGCAAGTAGGCATCGAAGATGAGAACCTATCAAAGATAAACATACACTCTACAGGTCTGGACTTACTTAAATCGAAGCAAAAATGTGTTATACGAGTCAAGTAGGACTCATAGATCTAGCAGGACTTGGTACTCTCGAGGGGACAAAGAAGTCAAAAGGCTTATTAAGGTCGAAGGAGATACTGGAGGTACCTCGCAAGTCCAGCGAAATCGCAAGAAATGCCTAAGTGAACCAAGTAACTAGCACAACCCGGGAAAGTGAAGATTCAGTGGGCATACTAAAAGTGGAACTCCAATTAGACAGATGTGCTAAAACAAATACAAAGAAAGCCCAAACCCCACAAAAAATAAAAAATATAAACCCTGGCTCCTTGGTCAGTAGTCACCATCTTCACATTAACAATATCCTTCCCGTACTGTCCAAAAGCTTCACGAATATAACTAGCATCCCAATCAGGGCTTAGATCACCCATCCAAATAGTACAGTCTGGTGCAGGAAAGTGGTGCTGTTGTTGGTGTTGAGGAAAAGGAGGCTGTTGCTGTTGTGGATTTGTAGTCTGTTGCTGCTGTGGAGCTGGTGGTAATTGTGGTTGCTGTTGATTGATACCAGGATTGGCAGGAGCGTCAATATCTTGTTGGGGATTTTGCAACATTTTTAGATTTTGTTCGAGAATCTTTAAAAAAAAATTTAAAAGCAACCTTGACAAACCATAAAATTTTAACTTTTCTCTGCTTAAAAAGGGGATACGCCCAATTAGGCGCGCGCCCAACGGCGCAGAGCCATAACTTGCTAGAAAATTTTTGATCCTAATCAATTTTAGTACCATTCTCTTTAGCTCAATGAGAAGAATTGTTTAATACCAAATTTGGAAAGATTCGGAAAACTTGAAGCAAGTTATAGCTTTGCGCCGTTATGGCCGCGCGCCTATTTGGGCCGTACTTGTGAAAAGTTAGTATTTTTTACTTTTCTCTAACTGTCTTTCCCATAGTATTTTCAAGAATAGAGGAGTTTGAGTCTAAACAGTTAGAGTCTTAATAGTAACTAGTTTCCATATAAATTAAAAAGTAAGACTCAAGTGTCTTATTTTTGTTTCAAAAATTAGGGGATAGAAGAGTACCTGAAGAAATTTTCTTTACTTACTCGTCTATTTACCGACTCTAACACACTTTTTATTTTTTGTTATTATAAAAGCGCTAAATCTTAATACAAACAAGTTTAAAACAGTCAAAGCGTTGGTTTGCTAAAACGTGAGGATTAATGAAATTAATTGACCAATTTTGTTTTGTTTAGGGATTTTTCATGTACGCGCCTGTCTTGTCTCTTGCAGCCTTTTCCTCAATAGCAACAGGGGCTTGTCTCTTTGCTTGACAAATAAACAAGCCACCAATTTTTGATATATTTTTTGTCAAGGACTCTTGTAAATTTTCCAAAATTTCTTTTTAAGATTCTCGAACAAAACTCTAAAAATGCTGCAAAATTCTCAACAAGATATTGACGCTCCTTCCAATCCGGGTGGTATGAATCATCAATTGCCTCAATCGACAAATCCACAACAGCAACAGCCTCCATTTCCTCAACACCAACAACAGCACCACTTCCCTGCACCAGATTGTACTATTTGGATGGGTGATCTAAGCCCTGATTGGGATGCTAGTTATATTCGTGAAGCTTTTGGACAGTACGGGAAGGATATTGTTAATGTGAAGATGGTGACTACTGACCAAGGAGCCAGGGTTTATATTTTTTATGGGTTTTGGGCTTTCTTTGGATGTGTTGGGGAAAATTTGGCGAATTAGATTTCCACTTTTTGTCTGCACACTAGATCTTTTTTCCTCTAGGTTTTTTAAGTCTCGTGGTCTTTTTCTACTTGGTCACTCCTATTTTTGAAATTCCTTCTTTTTTGAGGCTTTGAGATCTATTAGGGCTCTTGGATCGTTCCAATTTCCTTGTCACTTTACTTTGTAGCCTGCTATGGTTAGTCTTTTTGGCTTTTTTATTACCTCCTTTGGCTCTTTGACCTCCTTTGGTTATCAAGTAATCCTAGGCTTTATTTTCAAATTTTAGAAAGCTACTTATTGTTTTGTTGAGTTTTCCAATGAAGATTCTGCTCGTGATGCTCTTTTGGATGTTAATGGGAAACCGGTTGTTTTTGGATTTTTAAGCAATATTTTTGAATTTTTTTAGTTTCCAAATGACCCGTCGGGAAGAGCACGTTTTAATCTTGCATTTGCCAACTCTCCACATCAAATGTATTTTTTTCTGAATTTTTGTTTTAAAAATTTAATTTTAAGGTCTGTTGAGGACAACCAACAATTTGTCTCCAAACAAACCATTTGTTTCCATAAGCAGACTCCAACAAAAACTTTATCTCCTAGTGTTGATGATGCTTCGCTTTTTAGGGTATTTTCTTTTATTGTTTTTTTGGGTAATTTACTAGTTGTTTTTGGTATCCTGGGGTTTTTAGCTTTTATTTTATCAAAAAATTTTTGCGGATAAAATTTGCGGACTTTTGAGAGCATTAGGGAAATAGCCAATTTCTTTTAACTTTCTTCGTCATTTTTTGATCATCCTTCTCCCAAACGATTATTACAAAGATTTACTCGAATCCAAAAATTTTCTCTTTTTAGTTATTTGGAGAACGCTATCGCTCTTGTCGTGGTGCTAAAGTCTATCGAAACGAGGAAGGGTATTCTAAAGAACAAGGATTCGTTCGATTCACATCCGAGACTGATCAACAAAAGGCTTTGGTATCTTTTAGTAATTTTAATTAAAATTTTTTACGAAAATTTTTAACTCGTGGATACCCCGTTCGAGGTTTTTTTTTTGAGTAACTCCCTCTAAGACCTTGACCAATAATTACAAAAATATAAAGGTTTTGGAGTTTTTTTTTTGTTTTTTTTTCAGCCACTGCAATCGTCCTCACCAAACGTATCCTCACCACCAATGAAAAAGAAAATGGCACCATTAGTACCTCCAAAACCTGTATCCTCTTCAAAAGACAAATTCCGGCCTATAACACCAACAGAAACAATAATTGGATCGCTTTGGGATGATATTAACCGAGAACTGGAAAAATACAAAGAAGAGAGGAAGAAGCAAAAATCTGACCCTAATTTAAGCCCAAAAAGTCATCTAAGCACAACAAGTTCTTCAGTTTCAACAATTTCTAATTTTAACAACAAACAGGATGTGGAAGGGGGTGAGCAATTTAAACGATTAATTCGGCTTTTTTATATAAGCTTTTTTCTGTTTTTCTAAGGCTCCTTTAAACCATATTTCTGTAAAAGCATTTTATGGTTTAAGATTTTTTTTTATAAATTTGCGGACAAATCTTGCGGATTTTTCCTCTCATAAGCTTAATATACCCTCTCTTTTTTCTTTTATTTTAAATTCACTTTTTCATATTTTTAGATTCTCTTTTTCATGGAAAAAGACAACATTCGTTTGGCGTTGATGAGGATAAATCTGACGATTTGAATTTTTCAATTTCTTCAAAAACAGGCAAATTAATTACTAAAGTGGATTCACTCATTTCCAATGATTCGAGCATCGACCTACAATCTCAAAAATCTCAGCAAGAAGTCCAAGTTAAACGACTGCATGATATGATTGTTGTTCAACAAGACCAAATCTGCCAAGCCTCTCGGGCTTTGGCCTTTTGTCGTCAAAATGATCAATTTCGTGGTGGGAGAGAAGAGGTTTTTTTTAAGATTTTTTTGGTGTTTTTTGTCCAATTTATTTTATATATTGCCAGAAATTTGAGTTTTTCCTACTCAAAAATTGCTTTCATTTCGATTTAAAAATAAATTCACTCAACGGGTTCGAACCCTTACCCCTTAAGGGAGCTTACAAGTTTTCCCACTTAACTATTGATAGAAATTTTTCAATTTTTGAAAAAAATTTTTTTATCGCTTTCGGCTCATTTCTCTTCAAATGTAAATTCTGCCAACTGGTTCGAATCCATGATCCCCTCCTCTAGAGAATTCACCCACTTACCTAAAGATTACTCAACTAGGAAAGTTTGTTAAGATTTTCCGTTCATTTTTTTTTTGAAAATTAATTGAATTTTTGTTTTTTCAAAGATTGATGCTCAACGTGCTCTTTTAATTGCAACAGAACGCCGCCGTGCATTACTTTTGGAACGAGATCGGATCATGACTGGTAAACAACTCCAACAAACTAATGCTTCAACAACTGAACCAAAAGGAACTTTAATTATCTCCTCTATTTCAATTAGACTTTCGAGGGAATACGTAAATAATTGTGCTCATGGCGGTGCTTCTTGTTAGTTTCTTTTAAATTTTTTTTAAAATTTTTTTTTTCGTTAAAATTCTCGACTGGGTCAAGCTGGGTTCGGGTCAGTGCTCTTACCTAAATATTATTTTGTACCATTTTTGATTTTATGTATTTTTTCGGATTCTGATCTCTTTATTCGGCACATGTTTTTATGGGTTTTTCGGATTCCATGCTGAAGATCTGGAGCTCTTGAATAAATCAAGCCAGAATCCAAACCCAGACATTTCCGAATTTATTACTCCAGAAATTTCGGATCAAGGCCCAGAATTCCAAAAAAAATTTTTTACTGAATGACCTCCAAATGTTTATTTATTGATTTTTAGCCTTATATTTAAATATTTTTAAAATTTTTTAAAGCTATCAACCGCTATTATTTCATTATTTTACTCAAATGTGGTGAACTTGTTTTACATACTTCTCTAGCGTCGAGTGAACAAGGAATAAAAAGTGGATTTATTGAATTTACTCATTATATACCTATAGAAGGGTTGACCCCAGACTTTGTTTGTGAATTGGAAATTTATTCTTTGGTTTGGATTTTTTTTTCATTTTTATTAAAAAAATTTTCATTTTTTTAAAGAAGGCTTCCCAAGAAAAAGACGCGTCAGACCGCAGTGCTCGTAGCAAAAAAGGAACGTGGCGGCGTATGGTTATCAGCACGCCGCTTAATGCATATTCCAACACTTTCAGTTTGTTTATTTTTTTTTGAATTTATTTTGGACTTTAAATAGGATGGGACCTTCAAAGGCTTAAAAATTTTACTTTGTATTAAGGTGTATTTTAAATGGTGAGATATTTTTGACCAAGGGCGTAGCCAAGGGGTCGATTTCTGGGGACTACGCTCTTTCCTTCCTGGCTACGCCTTGACAAACAATTTTTTAAGAAAATAATACTTGGAGGATCTTAGATAGTGTTTCTCTTATATTTCCTAACCCCTTTCTTCAGGGGGTTAGTCGGCGTTGGGCCCCAAGAGTGGTAACCCACCCTTGGGGCGCGCCGATCCACCTATTAAAAACGAAGGCCTTCTTTTTAACTTTTTATTCAACAAATATATTAATAAATAAAAGGGGGAGAGGACAGGCCAACTTTTGATCGGGCCCAAAACTTTTATGAGTGAGTTGATTTGGCCTATTCTCTCTCGCCTTTTATGAGGCGCTAAAATGGGCGTTTCATAATCTTAACTATGACAGTTTCTGACTGTATCTCTTATTTGGCTTCTGAAAATATTTACCCGCAAAATAATTTTCTAATTAAAAAAAAATTTTTTTTTCTTAAAGACAACTATTCCACTGGAAATAGACCTATCGGTGTAATGGATCCAGGATTTCAACGTGTTGGACATCTCTCAATAACCAGACAATTAATTGGCCGCCAAAAATTTTTATTAAATGACACAGTGTATCCTTTAGATGGAAGTTGTTTATTAAGTATGGATTGCCATACTGACGAGGTTTTTTTGAAAAAATTTTTTAAAAAATTAAAAAAAATTTTTCTAGAATTCATCAAAATTTGGTGGTTATAGTTCTTTTCTTTCACTTTACCAAATTGTTAGTGGTTTTGGTGCTTGGAATCGTTTTTGGTGTGTTTTGGATAATGGACTTTTAAATTTTTGGCGTTATCCTGAAGATGAAGGGACAAAAGTAAAAAATTTTTTTATAAATAAATTTTAAAAATTTTTTTGGAAAAATTTTTGTTCGTCGGTAACCTAACAATAAGTTTTTATTGCCATATGTCAATACTTTTATGTTATTTTGGCAGAAAAATTTTTATATCGCCAAAAATAAGTTTTTTTCTCTCAGAAAATTTTTTTAAATTAAATTTAAAAATAAATTTGACCAACGGGTTCGAACCCATGACCTTTGCTGTAGAGCCTAGAACTGACCCACTTAACCAAAGATTTTGGGGAAAAAATTTTTAGGCCTAAAAATTCTCGTTTTTTTGGATTTTTCAAAATTTATTTTTTTTTCAGACTCCTACAGTTACAATAGAATTGGTTTGGTGTATTACGTCAGTTACAGCATTGCCTCCTTCTGCTGCCTCATTTCCAAATTCAATGCAAGTTGATGTTGTTCCTCCACAAATGAATGAAGGGGATAAAAAGGAAGGTGTTAGGTTAGTTGTCGTTTTTTTTTTATTTTTTGGGACTTTAATAATTTATTCAAATACTTTATTGAAGTTTACTTTTCTAAATTAAATTTTTTTGAGAAAGTTTTTGGTAAATTTAAGGACTAAAATATCTCTGACTTGGTAAATATTTTTTTTAATTAAAAAAAAATTTTTTTTTGAAATTTTTTGGGATTTTAAAATTTAATCAATACTAAATATGTTATTGAATTCATATTTTTTGGAAAAAATTTTAATGGCTTAAAAATGCCCCTGATTTGAGAAAAATCCTTTAAAAATTGTTTAATTTTTTTGTGTGATAAAATGTCCTAGAAAATTTTTAAAAAAATTAATTTAAAAAAATTTAATTTTTAAAGGATGCTTTTTGCTGCTGATACTCCAAATGAGCGTGACTATTGGTTAGAAAATATAAATCGAGCAATTCGAAATGTAAACATTTGGCGTCCAATTAAACGAAAATAGAGAGTAATGGAAAAATTTGTGAATGAATTTTAGAAGAAAATGAAGGTTATTTTTTGTTTTTTTTGTGTAGCTTCATTGACACTTTCTCCCAAAAAAATTTTTTTAAAAATTGTGAAAAATTTTTGAACTTGAAAAAATTTTTTTAATTCGAAAAAATTTTTTTTTAAATTCGAAAAAAAATTTTTGAACTTGAAAAAATTTTTAAAAATCGAAAAAAAATTTTTTTTTGGGATCAATTGTCTCTCTTCCAACAATAACTATAAAAAAATTAATTGAGAATCTCTCTCTGTCTCTTTTTTTTGCATATATTTATTTTTTCTAAAAATACCTACATTTTATTTATTATCTCCTATGGCCTATAATTTAGAAAAAAAATTTGAGAAATTTTTTCTATCGACTAAAAAAATACATATTTTACCTCCTCTCCTCTAGTATTATATTTAAAATAATATTTTTGTACTCTTCCAAACAACAACAAAAAATACAATATATATTTTATTTATCTAAAACTTTTCCTGCTTTTTTTTTTAATATTTTGGTTTATTTTTTTTGTTTTGTGTGTAAATTTATGACTATTAAAAATAAAGGAATATTATTTCAAAAAATGTTTTTTTTTGAATCAGAATTATTAATTCTGAGAATCAGAATTAAATTAAAACAAGTTTAATTTTAATTTTAGAAATCAGAATTACTAATTCTGATTTTCCTAACTTAAATAAACTTGTTTTAATTTAATTCTGATTTTTCAGAATTAAATTACAACAAGTTTGTTTATTTTAAAAATCAGAATTGATAATTCTGAATTTAAAATTTTCTTTGAATTTTTTAATTAGGGAAAAGGCAGATGATTTTTTAAGATACTGAGAGCTTCATTATAAAAGGTTTCCAATCCTTAATTGGGAAATCCGGTTTTATAGTGCAGTTTGTTTTAAATGGGAGGGCTGGGGTGGTCTACCAATTCTCTCCAAAATTTTAAAAAATAGAAGAGAAAAATCTTATATTGGGGAGTATTTTATAAAAAAAAAGTTCGGAAGCAGTCCTGGGAAAATTAAATTAATTAACTAAAAATTGAATAGGTTATAGGACCACATAAAATGCCCAATACCCAACTTTGGTTTAATTTAAATAAAAAAAATTCTCCCTGAATTTTTAAATTTGTTATGAATTTTATTGACAGAAAAAAAGAATTTAAAAAATTAATTTTTTTTTTAATTTCTAAAAATTTTTCAAATCTATTTCTGATTAAATTTGCATCTGTTAATTTTTAATTTTTTTAAAATTTATTTTTAAAAAATATTTTTAAGAAATTTTTAAGAAATTTTTGGCATGCTAAAAAATGCAAAAAAATTTAATTCCAAGAATAAATCTGTTTTTTACATTTTTTGACGTGAAAATTAATAAACCAAAAATAAATAAAATATATAAATTAATTTTTTTATTACATCTGCAAGTAACCAAAATAAATCAAATTAATTTTTAAATTAATTAACTAAAAATGGAAAACATTTACTATGAGGTCATTAATAAATATAAATAAACATTAAGGTATCACGAACAAACTACATTTTGAATAATATATTAAAGTTCAAGGGGAAAAAATAAACTTGTTGTAAATTAATTCTGATTTTTCAGAATTATTAATTCTGATTTTTAAAAAATAAAAATTAAGCTTGTTGTAATTTAATTCTGATTATTTTCAATTAAAAATTCTGATTTTTAAAAGCAAAAATAAACTTGTTTTAAATTAATTCTGAAAGATCAGAATTAAATTATAACAAGTTTATTTAAACTAGAAAAATCAGAATTAATAATTCTGATTTTTTAAAGAAAAATTAAACATGTTTTAATTTAATTCTGATTTTTTAACTAAGGTTTTGAAATTAAACCTAAGGGGTATCGACTTAACTTCTTTTAAAAATCATAACTTTTTGAAATCTTAATCTAAAAAATTTATTTTTATATCCTTTTGTAGCTAAGAATCTCCTCTTTCATTTGATCTATTGATAAATTATGTTGCCTTGATTAACAAAAAGTTATGGGTAAAAAACGTCGTTCTGTTCATTAATCGCCTACAGTTAAAAATTTTAAAAATTTCCAACATTTCTGAAAATCAACCTAAAAATTTTATTTTTACTTCTTCTTATAGTCCAGAATCTCCTCTTTCGAATGGTGGTACATTGTTCACCTCTCTAACTCTTTCCAAACAAAAGTTATAAGCTTTTAATTCTTGGTCATCAAACAATGACCTCACAAATACCCCCTCCCTTTCCCTTGTAAAATAAAAACAAAAGAAAAATTAAAAAATATTTTTAAATAATTTCCTCAATAATTTTATTGTTCCTTTATCATCCTTTGTCAGAAAATAAAAAAAAATTTGCGTCACAAATCTTTTTTTTTCTAATTTTTACCTAAAAGTACAGGCACACCTTTTGAAGGAACTACGCAAAGGGAAGAAGAAAAAAATTATTTTTCTATATTTGTAAAAATAAAAATAAATAAAATAATATTAAATTAATACATATTAGCAACACAAGATTTAGTGATTATTTAAGCCAAATAATTTTTGGTAAATTATGCCATTTTTATTTATTAACCAATTTTCTCCTAATAAATATGCCTTGCTTTCTATTTAATAAAAATAAGGTTGGGTAGGTTTAAGCTTTATTTAGAATTTGTCTTAGTGTTTAGCTAGTTAGTAAAGAACGTACCTAGCCTAGAAACTTTAGTTAAAAAAATCAGAATTAAATTACAACAAGTTTATTTATTTTTAGAAAATCAGAATTAAATTAAAACAAGTTTAATTTTAGTTTCAAAATCAGAATTAATAATTCTGATTTTTCTAAATTAAATAAGCCTGTTGAAATTTAATTCTGATTATTTTTAATTAAAAATTCTGATTTTTTAAAGCAAAAATAAACTTGTTTTAAATTAATTCTGATTTTTCAGAATTAAATTACAACAAGTTTGTTTATTTTAAAAATCAGAACCATTTTTGATAGTTGACTTATACGCCACAAAAAAAGTTTAAATAATACTACAAAAAGTACAAAAACGTTGGTTTTTAATGTTTAAATATTTTGGCCTTGAACGGGTTTTTAATTTATCAAAGGCCAAATATATTACGCAAATTTATTTTAAAGTAATTCAATGAAATAAGACATATTTTTTGTAGTTTTCAAATAAATTTTGTAATTTTTATTTAAAAATTTTATATGCCCTGAGGGCATAAAAATGTTAAATTTTACAATTTTGGGTAGTTTTAAAATAAAAAAAAGCTTAGATGCCCTGAGGGCATAAAAAATAAAATAGTGAAATTTTTTACCATTTCGAACCCGTACCATTTTAAATTTTACTAATTTGGGTAGTTGACATTTTGAAATATTTTTTAAAATTTTTTCAAAAAAACCTATAAACCCTGAGGGCATAAATAATAAAAATCAAAAAAATTTTTTTTACCATTTTGAAATTTTTCCATTTTGAGCTTTTACCATTTTTAAATATTTTTTAAAATAAAAAATTAAAATTTTGTAAAAATTTTTTTACAAAATTTTTCTGCATTTAATTCTGATGATTTAAATAAATTCACGAGAATTATTCGACCAACGACCAACGATGATAAATATTTCCCTCAATATTCAGTGATCAAAGGCATTAATTAATTATTTATTTCTGTACATGTTTATTTTTAATTTACTAAAAAGGGGAGAGTTGCGCAGAAAAATAAAATTCTTAATTTAAATAAACTTGGGCAAAAACATGCTGTAAAATATTCAAGTTTAATTTTTAAAAAAAGTTTTAATTAAAAAAATAAACTTTTTTTAAGGGTGCAGGGGCCAATAAAAATTAAGGAGACAATCGACAAACGATAGATATATTACAAATATATCGTTTATCGTCTGGAATATATCGAAAGTCGTCTGAATATATCCGCTGACGATATTATGGAAATTATCGTTTATCAATTGTCAATTATCATTTAGCGTTTACCTCCAATAAAAATTAAGGAGACAAACGATATAATAGAAGAATTTCTTCTCTAGTCTTTTTATTCTTCGCGCCTCTTGTATTCTTTTCTCAACTTTGTAAGAAAATGTAATGCAAACAGAGAGAGTGAAAAAACTAGACATCTCACTCCTTTTCCCTCCTTTCCTTATACTCAAACACACCCGAGGACTGAAACTTTGAATGGCCATAACTTAGCCCAAAGTCGTTTTGCAAGAAAATGAAAAATACTTAGCAATAGGAAGTCGGGTGTCCTCTATCGAATGGTACTACAAAATATACCAAATTCGCAGTAACTTAATCCCATCAATCTTATGAATCCCTTCAATTCTTAAAAATTATCCGTGAAGGTTAAAACTCAAATATGTATCTCTTTTAATCCCCTAAAATATCGATATAACTCCAAATCCACCAATATCCCCCTTAATCCGCCGATACCTCCTTAATCCCACTAATTTTTATACCAATAGATATAGGAGAGTGTTTTACATTCTATAGGTAAAAATCAGAATTTTAGCTTTACTTTCCTAAAAGATATAAAATTTATAAGACGCTTAATCAAAAATTAAAGGCCTATTTGAGAGGATGAGTCCCTATTTCTCTCAAAAATGGATGTACCTTGCGCGAGAGCCTCTAGTAAATTTATTTATAAAGAAAAATTTCTGAAAATTATATCAAAAGATAGAGCACATTCTCTTCTATCTAAAAATATTTTATTTGGAATTTTTAGGTCGAATTTGGATTTTTAAAAAAATTTTAAAATTTCAAACGATAAATTTGGGGGACAGGGTTTAGCATCCGATAAATTTGTCGTTCAAAAACCGTAGTTTTCCGTTCGTTACCATAATAAATTATCGTTTGAAACGACAATCGACTAATTTCGAACGATAAACGACAAATCTTGATGACAATCGATATAATAGAGACGATAAACGACAAACGATAAAGATATTTATTTTTACTCGAGGTATTCGACAAACGACGTATCCGAACGATAAACGTGAAAAATATATCTATCGTTTGTCGATTGTCTCCTTAATTTTTATTGGCCCCAGGCGTTTACT